CGTGACATTCCTCTTCTAGAGGGTCTATCATTGTATTTGTCATTCGTGTGGTGAACCTCTGTTATTTGTCTGGTGAACCTCGGTCATTCTCATTATCGTTTACCTGGTGAACCTGTTATTCTTTTTGTCATTCCATTTGTCATTCGTCTAGTGAACTTCTGTCATTCTCTTTGTCATTTGCCTGGTGAACCTGTCATTCCTCTGGTGAATCTGTCATTCGTCCAGTGAAATGTCATTGTTTTTGTCATTCGTATATTGATCACTGGCAGTGATCAGGAACCCTTGACAAAAAGGAACATGTGCCCCACAAACCACCCCACCCAACAACACGTTCCATAAGCAAAGCCAGGAACAATTCCATTGGTTGTTCCGTATAATTGAACAAAGCTGTGTAATCATTTTGACTTTTTTTATACTTTTATAATAAATAATATTAGTACAGTAAACTTGGCATAAGTCGGATTCGTATGTGTCAGATCTTCGCTCAACTCGGATAAAATCGTTTGGACCCTTTGATCCTGCACGTTTTTCTTATTAAATTTCTGCGCATAAGTTGGATGTCCTACGTCGGATCAAAATGTTCAGTTCATTTGATCTAAGTCAGTTTTGTCCCGATGGTCTAAAACATGGTTAGGTATTCCATGCACAGAGCCCAAAAATACGTTCCCCTATCATTTTGACTCAATAATAGAATCTTCCCGGAAAATTTGAAACTCGCTGTCTGCTGTACGAGACACTTTCCGGGAAAATTTAGGACATTTTTCAAAGATGGCAACAAAACAAAAGTTATCTACTCGCACCAAAACGGAAGTTATCTGCAAACAAAAGCTTAAAATGTGCCTTGGAATCAAAAATTATTCTCCTCTTGCAGTTTATTTATAATCGAGCTAAGATTGAATTTCGATCTTCGGCTAACTCGGATCTTCGCTTAACTCGGATCTTCGCTTAACTCAGATAAAATTGGTCAGTCCACTTAGATCCGACTTATGCAAGGTTTACTGTGTTACAAAAAAAGTTATTTAGACAAAATCTAATTTACATCCTCAATATAAATCTCAAGGTCGCCACTAACAATTTCATATTCATTAAACCCATTCCATGAAATGATTTAATTATTTTGTCTGAGGTTAGAAGTTATTGTTTAGAAATTTCTTGGTCACACATCATTCAGTTGTCATTCTTCATTCAGATTAGGGAGTCTTGACGATTTTATAATAAATATTGATAGTTATAGTGACAATAGTTTTCGTCATTAATAAAGAAATCGTCCGGTGCCGTGACCATAACCAGATCACTAGTAATCTCCAGATTTGACTATTGCAACAGCCTTTTGGCAGGTATCTCAGCTGGAAACATCTATTGTCTACAAAAGCTTCAGAATACAGCTGCACGAATCATCACCATCTCCAAAAATGATTGTCATGTTACTTCACTTTTAAGATCTCTTCATTGGCTTCCTCAAAACCTACCTGTTTCAGTGTTCATATTTATAACTATTTCCTGTAAATTTTGTTAACGCTTTGAGCAAACAATACTGTTTGGAGTCTAGCGCTCTATAAAGTATAAGAAACATTATTATTATTATAAATCTTTGAAGATACATTATTTAAGGTTATGATAAAGAGCTGGCCATTCTTGCTAAATGTATAATAGTTCAAAAATTGATAATGCAAAATGAAATGAAATGGGATTTAGCGTCCTACTGTTCTGCTCCTAAACTGGGCTAATGAAGACAGACATACACCATACAGTGTGCTATGAGGGAAATTTTGCCCGTGCAGTGGCACTACGGCCTACTCTTATATTGAATTCCATCTGCCAAGGGGTCTTTTACGTGCACACCAGTGTGTACACAGGACCTCGGTTTTTCGTCCCATCCGAACGACTAGACAGTTGTCCTTGTCAGGCCCTCCGTCCTGCATCACTGACAAGGGGAAACCACGCTGGGAAATCGGGATGAACTTTCTCGGCCAATGCAGGGATCGAACACCCGACCTCCAGGCTAGCGAGCCAGCGTCTTACCCACTTAGTCACGTGATCCCCCTAATGCAAAATGAATATATATTGAAAATTTCATTCAAATTTGTGGTTTTGACAATATGTGTGTATTGATTGTGTATTATCGTTACCACGTTAACATCTCTTACCTATTTTTAAATTACCAGTAAATTATTAAATCGCCGAACTGTTCTAATTTAGTTAAAATCTCAAGTATCTGAAGGCATCGATAGTTGATTATGATCTTGTCATGTTAATAAGTGTCGAATTAATAATTTATATATAATATATTTATTTAAGGCCTAAAGAATGACCTGCATTAGCCAAATTTAGCTCTTGAATAATGTATCTTTAAATAGACCTATAAAATAGAATTGGTGGCCTAATCCAAGATTCAAAAAATAAATTACCAATTCTTGTATCTTTAAATGCCACGGAAAAAAAGAAATATTTCTCAATTTGCATTTTCAACAATAAATGAAAAGCTCAATGAAGTCATGTTTTCATTCAGAAGAGGGTTGTTTTCTCCGCTAGTTGTTGTTCAAATAAAACTGGCAAACATAGTACATGTAGGAGAGGTTTCAATAAGCTTACATTCTGAATTCTGCCGGAAGTTGTAATACCATGCATTCACACTATGGTGTAGAATTCAGAATTATGTTCAGAACATAGTTGTAGCACAAAGTTCTTGAGAGAAATGGCAGAAACTTACAAATATTCTACCTGAATGACAGGCTGGAATTGGGTCTTTCAATTTCATCCGAAACTTTAACATTAGGACCCACAACTTTTATGAATTGTGTCTGACCAATTACTATAATGATAATTTTAAAGTCTGCAGTGTACATGATTTATTATGTGATAAATACATAAGCTTATGTTTTAAGTTTTAGTTGTCTTCTCCATTGTCAAAATATTAGCTAGTTGCTTTCAATGCAAATTAAATTGTTTACGAAATATTGTGACAATAACAGGACATGGGGTCTAAAGATCAGGAATGCAGAAATATGATGGCTGAAACAATATTGTTGTCTTTACAAATTGTTGATTCTAAATTCATAACCAAAAATATAGAAAGTATGCTTGTTATTTTGATAGGTTAACTGAGCTATAGATTAATACAAATGTTGGTCATTTACATTTTTCTTTGTTATAAAACGTATATCATATTTGTTGACCAAATTAGATAATGATCCCTGTCAATATCCAGGGTATGGTGCATATCTGCTATATATTTGGAATTCAACAGTTATCTGTCTTTTACGTAAATACCACAGACAATAGAATTGGTACATGTACCTATAATTTATAGTATAAAAGACAGAGTGAGGGCTAGAATAGTCAGACATCATCATGCAGATTCTATAGAAGACTAGACATCATTGTATTCTTTAGAAGAACAGACATCATTGGGTTCTGTAGAAGAATACCAGCTGATTCTCCTGAGGTAGTGTTTTCCTGGGTCTAGCCACGCGTTAGACTTTAACAGGAGTTGGGGTTGAGAGAAAGATGTTAATTTTAGATATTGTAATGTAGACTATTGTTTAACTGTTGTGATATAAAAACGTATAGAAAAAACTATTGTTGTTCCTTATACATATTTGATTTTGGTATCGTAAGAAAAGACAATGTTCAGTAGCCAGTCCAGAGTCAAACCAACCCCTAGGCGATCAGGTCAAAACAAAGAATGGCATCAGTAGTGCTACAATTTTCAAGCCGATAGAACACGGTAGATGAGCACCTAAAAATCTGAAACTTGGTGGAATTATCCAATATGTTAAAACCATTCTTGTCCCATGCCATCTCGATATTTTTTCGATTTTTTCAAAATCTGTGTTTTGGTTCATTCCATGTCAAATATTGTATTTTCGAGCCGAAAGAACCCGGGAAATGAGCACTTTAAAATCTGAAACTTGGTGTAATTATAGTTTGTACTAATCTCTCTAACATATATGTTAAAACCATTCTTGTTCCATGCCATCTGAATATTTTTTCGATTTTTTCAAAATCTGTGTTTTTGGTCATTCCATGTCAATTAAATATCACCCAATGAGTTAAACCGTATCGTCTTCGACTTTGCTGAAATTTGGTTTAGATGCTAAAAAGCTGATATTCCAAATTTTAGCTTGATCTGACTAACGGTTCCTGAGATACGGTTCACCCAATTTGCAGACATTAGTACAAACTGTAATTCAACCAAGTTTCAGATTTTTAGGTGCTGATCTACAGGGTTCAATGGGCTCGAAAATACGAGGCAATTTTTGAAAATATGAGGCAATTTTCGAAAATTTGTGTCTGAAACCATATTCGAGGCCAATTTTCTGGAGATCTAGTGAACACTTGTGCATTTTCATATGTTTGTTATGTAGTACTACCGGCAATCTTAAGAAAGGCCAAAATTTGGGTCTATATCTATTACTTTGTAGCTCCTTGAGCACTACGAAATCGAGAAAATATACAATTACCGGTACACCAAATTTTTCTGATTTCATGGCCATGTAGCATGCGAACCCTACCACTCACCTATATTCGAATTTCAGATTCTGAATCTACACGAATAGTTCTCTAGGACTACCAAATTTGAGCCTTATATCTTCACTAGAACTAGAAGTAGAAAGTTAAAAACAAGATATCTGAAACTGGAGTAAATTATTGATAGAAATGTTGTTTCAAAAACTTATCGGTAGGCTAACTCATAAAATTCAAATGCCCATATCTGAGTCAATTTTAAAGCTACAGACCACAAATTCTGCACAGTTTCTAGTTTTTACAAGTACAATAACACATATATATTTTCCAATTTTTTCGGGGGGGGGGGGGGGGGGTGACTTCCCAACTTTCTGAAATAGTGGGACAAAAATATTAATCAATGAGTTAGTACTTTATTACAATTGTAGTTATGTATGTGTTAGCTATTGAAAATATCAAAATATATTATTCTATAACACAAATGAAGGCTACCATAATTTGAATATTTTTTTTATGTTAATTATCTTTTACAGAAAGATAAAGCATCTGAATTAGCTGTGAAATGGAAACATTGTTCAATCAGTTTAGAACCATTACATAAACCCATATTGGCGTGTGAATTGGGAAGGTATGTAAAAATACACAGTTACTCTTACCTAGGTGAAAATACTACATATAGTACCCATCAGTATAGAATCCCCAAATCTTTCTCAGATTCAGTAAAACATATTATTTCATTCTATTTTAGTTACGTTTTCAACTTGTGGACACTGTACTCTATAGAGGTCACAATGTTTTTACGATTTTGATGAAACTTACAATGCATGTTTATAACCCAAAGATCTTGGTTCCTTTCGCTACTCGTTTATATCAGACTGTAACTTCCTGGATTATGGTCCCTGATTGTACAAAAAATCACATTTTTTAGCTAGTTGTTCCTCCAGAGGTCACTATTTTTATACGCCCACATAGAAATGTGGTCGTATATTGTCGTTGCTCCTGTCTGGCCGGCCGGCATCCACAAACCTTGAAAAATCTTGTGGTGGCTCTAGAGGCTGAAATTAATACATAGTGTTTGAGGTCATCAAAGAAGTTTATTGATTTTCGCCGATTTCCGATTATTACTGCCAGAGTTATGGCCCTTGATCTCTGGAAAATCGGGTGAACGATCTAGAGGCTAAAGTTAATATTCAATTGACTTTGAATTTATACACAGTGTTTAAGGTCATCAGAAGAAGAAGCCTAGTTATTTTTAAAGATTTCTGCCAGAGTTATGGCCCTTGATCACTTTGAAAAATCTTCTAGACGCTCTAGAGGCTAAAGTTAATATCTGATTGACTTTAATTTCTTTAAATTTATACACAGAGTTTAAGGTCATCAGATGAGGAAGCCTATTGATTTTCAACGATTTTTGGTAATTACTGCCAGTTATGACCCATGATCACTTTAAAAAGTCTTGTGGACGCTCTAGAGGCTAAAGTTAATATCCTACTGACTTTAAATTTATACAGTGTTTAAGATCATGAGACGAAGAAGCCTATTTATTTTCACCGATTTTTACTTTGAAAATTCTTGTGGATACTTTAGAGACCATAGTTATCATGTAATTGATTTTATATTTATACACCGTGTTTACGCCTACATATAATCGTTTTGATTGACTTTAGATTGATACACAGAGTTTAAGTTCTGAGACGAACAAGTATATTGATTTTCAATGATTTTTGATAACTTGAACAGCTAAATCTGTGATATTAAATATTTTGTATATTAAATATTTTGTAACTTCCTGGATAATGGCCCCTGATTGTACGAAAATTGTGTTTTTATACGCCCACATTTTCATGTGGATGTATTATGCCGTTGCCCCTGTCTGTCCGTCCGTCCGTCCGTCCTCAGGTAACAATTTTTATCCGATTTGGACAAAACTTGAAATATAGGTCTATCTCCCAAAGATCTCAGTTCCTTTCGATATTGGCATTTATCGGACCATACTGTACCTTCATGGATTATGGCCCATGATTGTACGAAGAATCATGTTTTTAGCTTGTGGACACTTCTAGGGGTCACAATTTTTATCTGATTTTGATGAAACTTGATATGCATGTTTATAACCCAAAGATCTTGGTTCTTTTTGATATTTGCAGATCGTAACTTCCTGAATTATGGCCCCTGATTGTACGAAAAATCACGTTTTTAGCTTGTGCTCACTCTAGAGATCATGATTATTATCCGATTTAAAAAAAATATATCTCCGTTACACCATAATATCAGCTGGGTTCAAATTTCATGAAAATTGAAACACAACTGTCTGACAAAAGATTGTGTAAAAGTATGTAATACAAAGGTTGTGGAACCTCTAAAACTTAAAAGTCACAATTTTTATTCAATTTTGATGAAACTTAAAATATATCTTAATATCAAAAAGATCTCAGACCCTTTCGATATTTGCGCATTTCAGACCATAACTTTCTGGATTATGGCCCTTGATTGTATGAAAAATCACCTTTTGTTTTTAGATTGTTCTCTTTCCATCTCTTGAAAATGCCTGGCAACCGCTGGTTTGCCTTGTTGACCCTCTAGAGGTCACAATTTTTATCCAATTTTAAAAACTGTTCAAATATATCACCATTACTACCTAACCGTAGTTGAATTCGACTTTCGTAAAAAATCTGACTGAAGCTGCCAGACAAAATGGCTGCTCCTTTGTACGCAAATAGTGTAAAAGTATGTAATACCAAGGTTGTGAACACTCTAGAAGTCACAATTTTTATCCACCAATTTTGATGGAACTTGAAATTGAAATGTATGTTTATAATCCAAAGATCTTGGCTCCTTTCGATATTTGCGATTATTAGATTATGGGCCCTGATTGTACGAAAAATCACTAGAGGTAACAATTTTTATCCAATTCTCAAAACGTTTAAATTTATCACCATTACACATTAATGATGGTTGATTGAGTTAGAATTTCATGACTATTGGACCAAAACTGCCAGACAAAATGGCCGCTCGTTGTACACAAATAGTGTAAAATTATGTAATACCAAGGTTGTGGACCCTCTAGAACTAGAAGTCACAATTTTTATCTGATTATGAAACTTGAAATGTATGTTTATATACCAAAGATCTCGGTTCCTTTCGATATTCGCACATATCAGACCATATCTTCCTGGATTATGGCCCCTGATAGTACAATAAAAACACATTATTTCTTTAACTCGTTCTCTGTTCATCTCTGGCAAAATGTGGCAATCGCTTGTAATTTTATTTTTGTATCAACAGCTACTGTGAAATAACGTTTTGTTTTTTTTCCAGGTTGTATAACAAAGAATCCGTTTTGGAATTTTTGATTGATAAAAGCAAGTTTGATTTTGCTGATCAGTTTAATCACCTACGAGGATTAAGGGTAAATATTGTACTTCATAATTCGAGACAATATTTATTACTATAAAAAACATATTTAACACGCTGCCACATATAACACACACTCTCTTTGCATATTTTTGAAAAAAAATATTAGTTACGGCAGTGATCGAAATGGGATTATTAAAACTGATTAAGTTAATGCTATTGTAGTGTGTTTAAAGAAATCATAAAGTTTTATGAAGACAAAAAGTGAACTGCCAGTCATCAATATAGTAGCCGGAATGTGTTCAATGCAGTTGGCTTGTGGACACTCTAGAGGTCTCAATTTTTATCCGATTTAGATTAAACTTGGAATGTATGCTTATAACCCAAAGATCTTGGTTCCTTTCGGATCGTAATAACTTCCTGGATTATGGCCCCTGATTGTACAAAAAATTGCTTCTTTTTTGAGTGTGTTCTCTGTCCATTTGTGGATGTATCTTGCATGGCAATCGCTTGTTTTCATTCATATTCAAATTTGACGTTTTTCAACATGCTCTTTCATATTTGAATTTATGACTGCATAAATCTGTGACTTGCAATCTAACAAAGACATCCATCATTTTTGCATTGAAAATGATGGAAAAAGTTCAAACTTTTTATTCCTTTAAATAACATACACCCTTAATTCATAGGGGACTGCCATGAGCAAAAAATTGTGTGTTGTACAATAATTCCTTCATAATTTGATACAATATTTATCAATTTACATTTCATAATTTGAGACAATATTTTATTTAGGGTTTTTCTTTGCATTTCAGATAATGTTTCTAAAAATCAGTAAATTTAATGGGCAGAAAGAATTAGGTACTTCACTTGACAAGGCCCGTGATAATGACATTTACTCTCCTAATGGTTCTATAAGCTCCGTGGAGAAAATGCAATGGGGTTTAACATCCTACATTACTGCATTTGATTTACTTTGTATATTTAATAGAACTATTGTTATTACAGGACTTAAAAGAATTGAATTTATCAGAAAATCCTGCATTTAAAGGTATTATAGCCGAGAAAGGAGATGCTTACATAGATACACAAACATCAGAATATATTTGTCCTGTTGTCGGAACAGAACTTAGTGGAAAATACAGGTTAGACACCGTTTTGAAATACACACAACATTATAAATGGTTTGACATTTTTATACGTCTACATTTTCATGTGGATCTATATTGTTGTCGCCCCTGTCCTTGTGGAAGTCCGTAACAATTTTTATCCGATTTTGACTAAAACTTGAAATATTGATTGATATCCCAAAGATCTTGGATTCCTTTTAATATTGGCATGTAACTTCATGGATTATGGCCCCTGATTGTACGAAAAGTTGTGTTTTAGCTTGTGGTCTCTCACAAGGTCATAATTTTTACCCGATTTTAAAAACCTTTTTAATATATGACTGTTTCATCATAATGATACTGACCGACAAAATGGTCGCTCCATGTACGCAAAAAGTGTAAAAGTATGTAATACCAAGGTTGTGGAACCCTGTAGAGGTCACAATTTTGATCAGATTTTGATGAAACTTAAAACATATCAGATTTTAAAAACCGTTTTAATATATGACCGTTACACCATAGTGGTGGTTGATTCGAATTTCGTGAAAATTGGGCCGAAACTGCCCGACAAAATGGCTGCTCCTTGAATGCAAATAGTTTAAAAGTATGTAATATCAAGGTTGTATTCCCTCTAGAGGTCACAATTTTTATTCAAATTTGATGAAACTTACAATGCATGTTTATAACCCAAAGATCTCAGTTCCTTTTGATATTCCCGCATATCGGACTGTAAATTCCTGGATTATGGCCCCTGATATATGAAAAATCGCTTTTTTAACTTGTTGACCCTCTAGAATTCACAGTTTTTATCTAATTCTGATGAAACCTAAAATATATGTTTATAACCCAAAGATCTTGGTTTCTTTTGATACTGTCAATTGTCGGACCGAAACTATCTGACAAAATGGTCCCTCCTTGTATGCATATAAGTGTAAGAGTAAGCTTATGTAATAACAAAGTTGTGGATTTCTAGAAGTCACATTTTTGATCGGATTTTGAAGAAACTTAAAATTTATTTTTATATCCAAAAGATCTCAGTTCTTTTCGTTATTTGCGCATATCGGACAGCAACTTCCTGGATTATGTCCTCTGATTGTACGAAAAATTGCATTTTTAGCTTGTGGAACCTCTAGAGGTCACAATTTTTATGCGATTTTGATGAAACTTAAAATATATGTTTATAAACCAAAGATCTTGGTTTCTTTTGATATTGTCAAATGTTGAGCCGTAACATCTTGGATTATGGTCCCTGATTGTGGGCGTATTTTGCATGGCAGCGACTTGTTGAAAATTTTTTACATACGCCTGTATTAGAAAATTAAATTTTTCATCTTTAGATTCTGTTATATATGGACTTGTGGCTGTGTTTTGTCAGAGAGAGCTTTAAAAGAGATTAAATCAGAAGTTTGTCACAAGGTAGGATGTTCTCCATGTTATATTAATATTAAAACATCATGATTCATTGATAAATCTAAAGTTTTCCTACTTGTACTGATATCATTGTACAGAAATGTTAGATACAGGGTGGGGGGGGGGGGGTAGGGATTCAAAACTTTAAGAGCTAGTATTAGTACTCAAGGACGATGATGCTCTGTTGGATTATTGACATCAAAGTTATTTTCAACAATCCAATATGGCGGAAATCCAAATGGCTGCCAATATGGCCCTCATTTTGTTTGAATGTTATGCTTATTAGATCGTATATATGCCTGTTCAGCATCCAACACTCATAAATTTTTTATTGTAAAATTTCTCTTCAATTATCATAGTCTTTAAGAGGCATTTAGTAACTGGGTAGAGCAATACACAAAAAACACATACTTATGGAAAAACAGCTACTTATTTATTTGGGCGACGTTTCGAAGAGTATTCTCTCAACGTTATCAAGCTAATACAGTAATACAAGAATAATGAGATCAATATATACAGAAAACTGTAACAACAATTCATGAAACCATACAGGACAACAACAAGATCAAAGGGGTTTATTCTACAAAAACTAATTAAGTGTGAAGAGTAGCCATTGAGTATAGTTAAGCAATTAGGTAGCTATGATGATAGATACAATACTACCGGCAGAATGGGATAGTACCTACAATACAATTATGATATACCATGGTTTGTTTAGATAATGGTAATTAACTTTATATGTCTGTGTGATTAAATGTACAATTAGACTAGAGTAACCCATATGTGTAATAATTCTAAGAAATAGAGTGGATATAACTGATAAATTGATAATAATATTAGAAAAAATGAAAAATAATAAAACTCATAAAAATTCAAAGGTTTCTTATCCACTGTACTGTAGAATGAGTGGGGGTGATGGAAAACACATAATTTAGGTATATTTAATAAGTTCATCATAAGCACTAGGCAGGAATATCCCTGTGTCGCGGTTGAGGTCTGGACTGTTTCTTTTAATGTGTATGGCCTCAATAATTTTGCGGGTTTTTTCTATCGGTAGGTTGGCCGCCAGGGTTCTATACGTTTTAATTCTGTGTCCTGGGTTGGATTGTGTGTGTTGGGCCACAGCTGAATTGGTAGTAGAGGATTTAGATTTATGCTGACTGATTCTCTTGTCTAAAGGCTGTCTAGTTTCTCCAATGTATTTTTTGTCACACGTGCAGGTTATTTCATAAACACATTCTTTTGGGTTCAGTTGTTTGGTTGGGGGAAGTTTGCCACTGGCCTTCAGGAGATCTTTGAGAGTTCTTCCTTTGGAAAATGTTACCTGGATGCCTGTTGGGGTTAGGAGTCTTCTGAGGTGGTACGATAGTTTGCCTTGAAAAGGTATTGTTATTCTCACTGGTGGTGTATCTGGTTTAGGTTGGCTTATATCTGTAGGAGGATTGGTGGTTGCTTTGATGATTTTCTGCACTAATTGTCGGGGGTAGTTATTGAAGTTGGTTAGAGATGTTTCAATGTGATCAAGTTCTGCTCTGATGTAGTCTTTGTCGCAGATGTTCACGGCTCTGCGCGCTAAAGTGGATACAGTAGCTTTCTTTACGCTGTGCGGATGATTCGACTTATAATTGATGTACTGGTTGGTATGTGTGGGCTTTCTATATACGCTGGTATTTAGTTTGTCAGCAGATCTCTTAACTAGGACATCCAGGAACGGGAGGGATTGGTGCTGTTCTTTTTCTATCGTGAATTTTATTCTGTTATTTTGGTTGTTGAGGTGGATGAGGAGGAGGTTGGGGTCTTCATTCTGTTTGAGAATGACAAAAATATCATCTACCTTACGAAGCCAAGCTGTAGGTTGAACCGGTGAAGTGGATAGGGCATCGTTTTCAAAACTAGTCATATAGATCTCGCTGAGGACTGGGGACAAGGGGCTTCCCATGGGTAATCCATGTACTTGCTCGTATGGTTTATATCTTCTATATAAATATAATCAAAGATGTGTGTATGCATTTATGTGTGTATGTATGTTTGCCCATCACTCTTTGCCATTGCGATCCAATTATCATATCTATGTTTTTTATTGTCTATATAAATATAATCAAAGATGTGTGTATGTATTTATGTGTGTATGTTTGCCCATCACTCTTCGTTGCAGCTCTCCACACTGACATATGTAGTATCAAATTAACCAGCATGAACCTGTGAATGTTTTAGGCCATCGAATTTGGGCTCTGGGCCAATTTGGGCCCGTGCGAAGACGGATATCCTACTTAATCCTAATTTATCGTTACAATTCATGTTTGTTTATAATATGCATGAATTAGGGGGATTGTTTTCGGGATTGGTGAAACTTTTTTTGACTTTAACTAAAAAGGTCCATTGCCCATGCATAACCGGGAGTTTGTTTTTTTAATGTGGTTGATTATCCAGTAAAATTTTGTTAAATGTTGACAACTAACACAGACCCTCTGTACTTTGAAGACTAGGAGGTTCTGGGTGTCTGAGACTAGCCATTTGTCCATGGTTTTACTGTTTTTCTTCGTACTTCATTTTCATCAATAAATTCTTCAGTGTGGTCATACTTATGAAGAGGAAAGTGTGGTAGTACTAAATGGTACTGATGATGATGTAGATTTAATGAGAATTAAAATGGAGGCCAGGAGATTGAAAGCTAAACAGGAAAAGGTAAATGTGTATCTTAATTAAATTTCTAGCAGTATTTGTATAGTATTCTGTTTGTAATTTGGTTGGTACTCTAGTGTAATATTGCAGTATTTTGTTATAAATTATTGCCAATATTAAAAACTTGGGGCCTGGTCCATGGTCACTTTGATAAATCTAATGGAAACTCTAGAGGCTAAAGTTATCATCCGATTGGCTTGAAATTTATATATTGATTTGAATGCTTAAGTTATCTTTTGATTGCACATAATTCTATTTATAGTGTTTCGGAGATATTGCCCTTGATCACTTTTTAAAATCTTGTTGACACTACTGTCTAAAGTTGTTAAAGGATTGATTTGACAAAGACACCTATTGATTTTCAATGATTTTTCAATTCAAATTGCTAAAGTTATCATTTGATTACCTGTACTTCAAGTGTTGTTATTCTTGATCAGATTTTAGTGTCTTGTATTTTATCCCATTACTAACAAAAGAATGAGTGTTTGACAATCTTTACTCAGCAACCTATCTTTAAATTTGATGGACTAAATGTCTATATTTGCTTTTTAGTGTAGAATATTGTGCCTTTAATGATTTGGGTATTTATATTTATTGATATTATTTATCTCATCTTTTCACAGAAGGCAAAAAAGGCAGGTAAACACAAGGCAACTTCTAGTAGCACAGACTTATCAACTGGTAAATATTATTATATTGTAGTATAATCACTGACAATTAATAATAAATTACACAATAACAATGATATCTTTGTTATACATCTTTATATAGAAAATTATAAATATTAGTCTAATATCATCTTTCAATAGATTTATTATTTGTTAGAAACTGTTAGCTAGAGAAGAATTGGCTCTGTTTGGAATGTGAGATACCGTGGCATATGATCGACCTATTGCAATATACCTGGAAAACACTGAATTAATATTTTTTTTCTGTTGTATGATAATTTGTATTTGACAAAGTCTGTGACAGGTGCCTTGAATTTTGAAGGAAGATCAGTCATATTGTAAATATTCATAAATAAACATTTTACATTTTTACAATTTTACATTTAGCCATTTCAAGTTTTCATGCAACATAGATTCGCTGATTGATCCATGGTTATAATTTACCGGTATCGTTCATTATCTACCGGTGATTTGTCACCGTATGCTTTATGAAGTTGTTTGTAGTTCACAAAATCATTGTTTTTTTTGATTGCTATTAAAAATGCTATTGTATTATGTTACTGATAGATCTAAATGGCTACAATCTAGGTATTGTCATGCCACGTGTAGTAGGAGGGGCAATGGACGCCATCGTTTGTCATTTGGTTGGATAGTATAAAGTAAACTAGAATTATTGTTTCTCTTTCACCAGTAGTCAGGATTTAAGTCGTGAGTAGCTGATCATGATAAATTATTTCTACAGTTATTATTTCATTTGTTTACGGCGATGTTTGTTGTGGGCGGGACTTTAACAACAATTTGACTACCGTACGAGCGCCAGAATTACCATTTAAGTTATGAAACAATGCAATTGAAAGTTATAATTAATATAAAGTCTTATTCGCTACCACCTTCCATTCGAAAATATGAAACAGGCACTATAATTAACCAATGTGAACACTTTCATGCAACTAGAGACACCCCAAGTGGGATGAATTGTTGCGCAATATAAATTTCGTTATTATTATTATTATTATTATTATTATTAATTCAAAAAATGTATATACAGTTTTTATACGCCCACATTTTCATGTGGACGTATATTGTCGTCGTCTGTCTGTGTGTCCGTCCACAATTTGTTTGTGGACACTCTACAGGTCACATTTTTATCTGATTTTGACGAAACTTGAAATATAGGTCTACCTCCCAAAGATCTTGGTTCCTTTCGATATTGGCATGTATCGGACCATAACATCATTATTGTACGAAAAATCATGTTTTTAGCTTGTGGACACTCTAGAGGTCACAATTTTGATCCAATTTTGATAAAACTTGAAATTCATGTTTATTTGCGCATATCAGATCGTAACTTCCTGAATTATGGCCCCTGATTGTATGAACAATCGCCCTTTTAGCTTGTGGTCCCTCTAGAGGTCACAATTTTTATCCGATTTAAAAAGACGTGTAAAATATGGTATATTAAGGTTGTGGACCAAGAGGTTACAATTTTCATCCAATTTTGATGAAACTTGGAATGCATATTTATATCACAAAAATCTTGATTCCTTTCGACATTCGCGCATATCAGATTGTAACTTCCTGAATTATGGCCCCTAATTGTACGAAAATCGCGCTTTTAGCTTGTGGTCCCTCTAGAGGTCACAATTTTTACCCGATTTAAAAAAAATGTTTTATTATATCACCGTTACACCCTAATGATAGTTGAGTTTGAATTTCATGAAAATCGGACCAAAACTGCCGGACAAAATGGCCGCCCCTTGTACGCAAATAATGTAAACATCTGGTATATCAAGGTTGTGGACCTCCTAGAGGTCACAATTTTGATCCGATTTTGATGAACCTTGAAAAGCGTGTTTATAACCAAAAGATCTTGGTTCCTTTCGATATATGCGCTTATTGGATCGTAACTCCCTGAATTTTGGCCCTTGCATGTATGAAAAATTGCGTTTTGAGCTTTCGGTCCCTATAGATGTCACAATTTTTATACGCCCACATTTAAATGTGGCCGTATATTGTCGTCGCCCCTGTCCGTCCGTCCGTCGGTCTGTCGGTCCGGATTGTGGACGCTCTAGAGGCTAAAGTTAATATCCGATTGACTTTAAATTTATACACAGTGTTTAAGGTCTTAAGACGAAGAAGCTTATTGATTTTCAGCGATTTCCGATAATTACTGCCAGAGTTATGGCCCTTGATCACTTCAAAAAATCTTGTGGACCCTCTAGAGGCCAAAGTTAATATCCGATTGATCTTAAATTTATACACAGTGTTTAAGGTCATGAGACGAATAAGCCTATTAATTTTCAGCGATTTCCGATCATTACTGCCAGAGTTATGGCCCTTGATCACTTCAAAATTTCTTGTGTACGCTCTAGAGGCCAAAGTTAATATCCGATTGATCTTAAGTTTATACACAGTGTTTAAGGTCATGAGACGAAGAAGCCTATAGATTTTCAGCGATTTCCGATAATTACTGCCAAAGTTATGGCCCTTGATCACTTCAAAAAATCTTGTGGACGCTCTAGAGGCCAAAGTTAATATCCGATTGACTTTAAATTCATAAGCAGTGTTTAAGGTCATGTGACAAAGAAGCCTATTGATTTTTAGCAATTTTCGATAATTACTGCCAGAGTTATGGCCCTTGACCACTTCAAAAACTCTTGTGGACGCTCTGGAGGCCAAAGTTAATATCTGATTGACTTTAAATTCATACACAGTGTTTAAGGTCATGCGACGAAGAATCCTATTGATTCTTAGCAATTTCCGATAATTACTGCCAGAGTTATGGCCCTTGATCACTTTGAAAAATCTTGTGGACGCTCTAGAGGCCAAAGTTAATATCCGATTGACCTTTAATTTATACACAGTGTTTAAGGTCATGAGACGAAGAAGCCTATTGATTTTCACCGATTTCCAATAATTACTGCCAGAGTAATGGCCCTTGATCACTTCAAAAAATCTTGTGGACACTCTAGAGGCCAAAGGTAATATCCGATTGGCTTTAAATTTATACACAGTCTTTAAGGTCATGAGACGAAGAAGCCTATTGATTTTTAGCAATTTCCGATAATTACTGCCAGAGTTATGGCCCTTGATCACTTTGAAAAATCTTGTGGACGCTCTAAAGGCCAAAGTTAATATCCGATTGACTTTAAATTTATACACAGTCTTTAAGGTCATGAGACGAAGAAGCCTATTGACTTTTAGCAATTTCCAATAATAACTGCCAGAGTTATGGCCCTTGATCACTTTGAAAAATCTTGTGGACGCTCTTAAGGCCAAAGTTAATATCCGATTGACTTTAAATTTATACACAGTGTTTAAGGTCATGAGACGAAGAAGCCTATTGACTTTCAGCGATTTCCGATAATTACTGCCAGAGTTATGGCCCTTAATCACTTTGAAAAATCTTGTGGACGCTCTAGAGGTCAAAGTTAATATCCGATTGGCTTTAAATTTATAATCAGATTTTAGTTTATTATAAATGTTACATTACCGAAAATTAAAAATATGTGACAACTCTTGTTGACTGCCCGGACGATTTAGCTGCTGTGGGCGTATGTTTCGTTGCCTGGCAACCTATCTTTATCTGATTTAAAAAAAAAAAAAAACGTGTAATAATATGGTATATCAAAGTTGTGGACCCTCTAGAAATCACAGTTTTTATCCGATCTGGATGAAACTTTAAATATATGTTTTTATCATAAAGATCTTGGTTCCTTTTGAGAATCACATATATCCGAAGGTAAATTCCTGAATTATGGTCCCTGATTGGTCGAAAAATCCATTTTTAGCTTGTGTTTTCTCTAGAGGTTACAATTTTTTTTCCGATTTTAAAAAACGTTTAGATATATCACCATTCCACCATAATGAAGGTTGAATTGGAATTTCGGGAAAATCAAAATGAAACTGCCCGACAAAATGGCTTCTCTTTGTACGCAAATTGTGTTTAAATATGTAATACAAAGGTTACCCTCTAGATTTCACAATTTTTATCTGATTTTGATGAAACTTAAAACATACCTTTATATTCCAAAAATATGACAAAATTGCGGCTCCTTGTATGCAAATAGTGTAAAAGTATGTCATACCAAGATTGTGGACCCTCTAGAAGTCACAATTGTTATGAGATTTTGATCAAACTTAAAATAGATGTTTATGTCCCAAAGATCTCGGTTCTTTTCGCTATTTGTGCATATCAGACCATAACTTCCTGGATTATGGCCCCTGATTGTACGAAAAATTGTGTTTTTTAGCTTGTGGATTCTCTAGAGGTCATAATTTTTTATCCGATTTTAAAAATCGTTTAGATAAATCACCATTCCACCATAATGAGGGTTTAATTCGAATTTCAGGAAAATCAAAACGAAACTGCCCGATAAAATAGCCGCTCTTTGTACCCAAATTGTGTAAATGTATGTAATACGAAGGATATTGACCCTCCTCTAAAGGGTCACAATTTTTATCCGATTTTGAAGAAACTTAAAATATATGCTTAAGTCCCAAAGATCTTAGTGCCTTTCCATAACGTTCTGGATTATGTCCCCTGATTGTATGGCAACAGCTGGTATATTTTATTATAACACTTGGTTTTGAGTTTTAAATGTTATTATAACACTTGGTTTTGAGTTTTAAATGTTATTATAATAACACTCATTTTATTACAGATGGTGAACCAAGTAGTAAATTGACTAAAAGGGAAAAAGATAAAGAGGTTGCGGTCGCATCTTCCTCAAAAGTAGATGTTAAATCTAAATTGATTAACGGTAAACCAGATCTAAAAAGTAAACCATCGAGAGGTAAAGCCGAAGAAAAAACTATCAAAAGTATTCAGAATGATCCTAATGCCAGTGCTACATATAAATCATTATTTACAACATCTAGTAGAGCTAAAAATCAACAACAAGCACATTGGGTGACATTTAATCCCATGTACTATTAAACAAATATGAAAGAACAGAATTTATACACAAATGTAGATAATTTTTAGAGCTGAAGGGAAAATATATCAAAACAGATGGGAATCCTGCAGGTTGTTCCACTCTATTTCTTAGCAAGCCAAAGGAATTTGAGTCGACATAAATTTGAAACAAACATCTGTAATCTACCATCTTGCTATATTATTTATTACGATCCCTATCATACAGTTTGTACAGTTATAGTCATCATACTCACTAACATGACAAGTATTTTTTAACCCTTGCATTATGAAAAATTGTGCTTGGAGGAAATATTTTTTTATTGTTCCCTCATTGTCATCTTTCACCAGTAATAATATTAAACATAATATTACTTTAAAAATGTCATTCAATCAAGTTGATTAACCAGAGGTGGATCCAAGGGGGGGCGTGCGGCCCCCTTAATTATCGACAGTGGCCTTTTTTACTGCTGAAAGTGGCTTTTCTCAGACCCAAAATATGTCCGTTCGCAACTCGTTACAGGGATCCCAAATGACTCAAACCATCGACTCAAACACACCAGTCTGGTCTAATTAATGCTTCCACTTTCAAACGAATTCTTGTTGTTTAGCTGACGGTGCCCTATAGAATGTCTATAGACAGACATCAATGATAGCATCTTGTGGAATCGGCGGCGTATACTACTATACACTCATGCCCATCACCGACGCGCATTAGTGCAACTTGATGTAGTATTGTTTCATGTGTGGACAGTACAAGTTACAAGGCTTAAATAGTGAAGTGGCTAGGGAATAGATTCGTCTTTTTTCCCATCGTAATGTCTCGCTCGCCTTGACAATTTTCGAGTCGCATGTTCAACTGGCTTTTTTGCTCGATTTTAAGGCTCTTTTTCAACGATTTTCGAACGTTTACTTAGACGAAAATATCAGTCAAATAGCTCTTGGAATTGCTACAGATGCAGGAAATGACGGATAATTTTCCCCCCATATCTTAGCGGCGTGGTGCATCTCCGCGGTCAGTGCCCTCATTTTGCGGCGCCCCCCCTTTTCAAAATTCCTAGATCCACCCCTGGATTAACTGGGAATCTAATGGAAAGACTGAAATGTACTAATGTGGAATCCACTTGAACTATGATTTTATTTATGTTATTGAACCATTAATTATATGTTTTATTGTATATTATTTAAGTAAAAATAAAGGTAGCAATTTGGACATAAATAAGACTTGATTACAGGACATTAAACGGATAAATTGAATGAAGGATAAATGACAAGTAAATTGTAATGATTGTGGTTACATGCAGAACCCACATGAAGAAAATTTGCCTTGAAAGTGGCATTTCTTCCATGTTGTCTTTGAGTCACAACTGTTAAGATCTTTTATATAATTTATAATTGATATGCAGCTAACATCCCTGCCCAAAAAACTATTTAAAATTTTTCCATATCACATACCCACTTCAGTGCCAGGCTATTTTTCCATGCTCACTCTGATATATATAAGCATCCAGTTCTTGTAAAAGAACTCTTGACAGTTGGAATTAAACAAGCCAACAGTGAGGCTGATGTCCCTCGTCGAAATCCCAAAATAAATAGATGACACATATTCATTAATCGTACATTTATTTTTTTCAAAAGTATCAAGCAATCAAACAAATTATCACCTATACACTAAGTTTCATCACTCTATCAAATAGAATCAAAGTTATCGTGTCCCAAAGCATCAACCAATCAAATTGCTTATCTTTGATTACTATTAGCCGAAAATGGTCATCTTCGAACTCTATCAAGGGATTGACCTAATAAACACCTACACCAAGTTTGAACATTCTAGTTCAATTAGAAGGAGAGTTAATGTGTTCCAAAGTCTCAACCAATCAAATTTCTTATCGCTCTGCTTACAATGAGCAGAAAATGCTCATTATCGAACTTAGTCAAAGTATTGATGTAATGAAACTATACACCAAGTTTCATCACTCTTACTTAATTAGAACTCAAGTTATCGTGTCCCAAAGCATCAACCAATCAAATTGCTTATCTCTGCTTACCTTAAGCAGAAAATGCTCATCTTCGAACTCCATCAAGGCACTGACCTAATAAACACCTACACCAAGTTTGAACTTTCTAGCTCAATTAGAAAGAGAGTTATTGTGTCCCAAAAAGTGTTACAGAGAGACGGACGAACCCATTTTAATAGTCCCCTGCATTCTTTGAAAGGTGGGGGATAATAAAGAGTAGGTCTGTATGTTGCATGCGCGTCTTTATTATTCTAAAGGATGCAGAAAAGTATAGACGTTAAATCACATTGCTTTTGTGAAAAGATGGATGAAGCAAGGGCAATAAGTATGTTGATCAGCATTGGACACAGCTTTATGATAATGGCTCTTCAGATAAACATAACCATGTAACTACATGTATATGAATGCACTGGGCAATTCTAGCACAAGATATACCATCGCCAAATTATTCATGATGTGTACGTGCCTTTAAGCTAGTGCTATGGTAAATATTACGACAAAATAACCGACCCTGTAATAATTAATTTATTTTATAGCTAAAATACACATTTCAGTAATTTCAAATGCGTACAGAATTGGACTAGTAGTTTAAATGGAATTATTTTCTATTATCTAACAATCAACTATGGATTATTAATATCATTACAAAATATATTTAATTATTATATTTGGCATATAATTTAAACACATACTTAACAATCAGTTAAAATTCAAATCATTATATCAATATGTATATTAATAAAGCGTAAATATATATAAATCTGAAAAATAAACAATGAATATATTTTATTAATGATATAATACTATATAGTAGATCATAAAGTATTTAATAATAATAATAATACATAAAATAGACTAGAGGAGATTATAACATAAATACGGAGGAATTCTGTGAAGAAAGTTCAGCTGTAATGATACATCATCATTTTTTAAATGATTAAAAGGGAGAATAGCAGAATAGATTTACAAAGAAAAAAAATCACATTTCTGGTAAGGGGTTTGCAAGTGATATTAATTTTTCTTCCTGCTTTGGGTGTTGGCGAACATGCATTCAATACCACAAAATATTGACTTTTAGGGCGTGTTTGATAACTAGTACTTAATCACATTTCATTGCAAAGCAATTCTTTCGCATATGTGGTCATTGTGATTATATTCTATTTTCTGTCATTTTAACCACTGATAAACCAACAGTTCTACTCATACTCCATTTTTGAATGAGTAAAACACATTCACAATTCCATTTAGTGCAGTGCCAATGATGAGCTCACATAATCATGAAGGTTATTTTACTTTTGTCGTAAGGAGAAACTTTACTCTTTAGACAGAGATCTATAGTTTTCAATGGTGAATAGTTGTGCTTTTTAATTTGAGAAAATATAAAGATATGTTATAATGTTTAAAATATAAAAACAATATTAAATAAAACAATGAGATTCTTTTGGTAAGTAGGGCAACAAGTGATTACCATGCAAGATATGCCTACATTTTGCAAAAGATGGCCAGAAAACAGCTAAAAACACGATATTATGTACAATCAGGGGTCATAATCCAGGAAGTTACAGTCCTCCGATATGCATGAATATTGAAAGGAACCAAGATCTTTGGGGTATAAACATACATTTCAAGTTTCATCAAAATCGGATACAAATTGTGACCTCTAGAGTGTCCACAAGCTAAAAACATGATTTTCCGTACAATCAAGGGCCATAATCCATGAAGTTACTTACAGTCAAATACATGCCGAAATGAAAAGGAAGTGAGATCGTTGGAATAAAAACGTATATTTTAAGTTACATCAAGATTGGATAAAAATTGTGACCTGTAGAGGGTCCACAAACATAATCTGAAAGGAAGGGCTGGGGCGACGACAATATACGTCCACATGAAAATGTGGGCGTATAATAAAAACGTATAATGATGATGTAGCAATAAAAAACAATCTTTGGGATAAAAAATAAAGATAATATATACATTTAAGTAAATACAAGTGGATAAAGTAAAAAGAATCCATAGCTGTGCTCCAATGATAGGAAGAAAGCAAATGGAATGATAAATCAAAAAATAAGTCGAAGCCATATATCTTGGGAGATGTCACAGTACATATTGTTTCATACCAAAGAGGCAATATGACCTGTTGAATGTAATCAATCTGCTGGTGAGTAACAAATCCAAATATTGTGTAATAATCTGTATTATTATTTAACATTCCTCTCAGTTAGACTGAGATGAGATATGTGACCAGCTGTAGCTAATATCATACAGTGCATGAAACATACCAAATTTTTTTCTAAGGATTTTGTTTCCAGAATATTTGCCTTCAAAAATAACTTAATTTTTATAACTTAATTTGAAATGTGGTCGTATATTGTCGTCGCCCCCGTCCGTCAGCCACAATTGCTTGTAGACGCTCTAGAGGCTAAAGTTAATATCCGATTGACTTTAAATTTATATACAGTGTTTAAGGCCATGAGATGGAGCAGCCTATTGATTTTCAGCGATATCCGATAATTACTGCCAGAGTTCTGGCCATTAATCACTCCAAAAAATCTTATGGACGCTCTAGAGGCTAAAGTTAATATCCGATTGACTTTAAATTTATACACAGTGTTTAAGGTCATGAGACGAAGAAGCCTATTGATTTTCAGCGATATCCGATAATTACTGCCAGAGTTCTGGCCATTGATCACTCCAAAAAATCTTATGGACGCTCTAGTGGCTTAATATCCAACTGACTTTAAATTTATACACAGTGTTTAAGGTCATGAGACAAAGGACCCTATTGATTTTCGGTGATTTCAAATAATTACTGCCAGGTTTATGGCCCTTGATCACTTTGAAAAATCTTGTGACACTCTAGAGGCTAAAGTTATCATCCGATAACACTTGTTGACTGAAGTGTTGACTGCCCGGATGATTTAGCTGCTGTGAGCGTATGTTTCGTTGCCTGGCAACCTATCTTTGTTTTCCTGATCAAATTGTAAAAATATACAAGAAATGCATAAAATTTGCTGTTTTTGGTTGCTACAGAATGTTGAATTGTTTCAGTAATTTTTAAATACTTTTTTCTAAAAATTAATGTTATCAAACTTCAAAATGAAATGAAATGGGGTTTAACATCCTATTTTTCAATACCAACTTCAAAGATAAATATCTCAGAATTGTTAAAAATGAAATATATGTAAGCCACTTAAAAATCTAAAGGCCTTTAAAGACAGAATACGTCTCAATTAGCTAAAGCTGGTCACATCTAATCACTTTATATGTTTTAGTGTTGAAAGACATTAAAATATGGCCTATATTGACTTTTGTTCTCTATCATGATTTATTGTGATTTATTTTTAAAACACATCATGAAATAATGAATTAAGTACAAATGCAAATAACCACCAGAAAGGGTGGAAAAAAAATTATCATGCATAATAAATTTAGCTATTAGACCAATATGTATCTCGTACATAAAAAAATGTTTTAATAGAAAAACTTAAAAATATGACATCAGATCTATACAATATGCTTAAAAATTTTAAGAAATGCAAAGTATTTCTGTAAAAAAAATAACAAGAAAATAAACCTTAATACTGTATTTAAAACATGGTCCAATTATATAATGGACAAAAATAATATTTTAATAGTTAGTAAAAGATAAATGCAATAAAGTTAGAAAACCAAAACAATACTATTTATAATAATATACATTTGATCAATATTATTTAATACCAAATAAACAGACTGCACTGGATAATATTACTTGATTGTTTTTTGTCTGTTTTCAAAAAAAATAGACCCAAGTAGCAGATATCAAATGTTGATTTTTGTCATCACAGCCAGTCACATTGAGAAGTATATACAGTGTACTTTTCTTGATCATCAATGGTTCTAGACTAATAAATACTCAAAATTACCAATACACCACATTGATTAAAATTAAACACAAATATAAATAAAAATTCAAATCATCATCCACAATTGTTTTATACAAAAGAATGTGATAATATTCATTACGATATACAAATCATATTAATTTACAATAATTCATATGATCGTTTAAGCGAGTAATATCACATTCAGTTTGTAAATTTTCTAGAGCAACAGCTCATAAATAAACAAAATATGCATTGTGCACAAGGTAGGTTGTTACAATCATGTAGTTAAGCAGATATGAAAATGAAATGAAGTATCATTAAAATGCATAAAGACTTTATACTGTCTACAAAACAAAATGCACTCCATGCATATAATATGTCTACAAATACATAATGCACATAAGACATTTCTAAAAATTCATGGTAATGATTTATTCAAATAAATTTATGTAACAATACAAATATGTTTTTGTTCTGCTTTGGTATATTACTTTGCAAGATACCACATTATGTAATATATACACAATTAGTACTTATAACAATCATACAATCAATTTGCATAATAATTTTTAACTGAAGTTGTTTATAAATATTAACAGAGATCTTTAAACAATATGTAGATATAAAATATTTTATAGGAATGTTCTTTTATCAGGGGTCCTCACTTCAACATTTTGCCAGCTTTTGAGTATTTTGTTTATCTCTGACTAGCAGTACAATTTTTTTCAAAGAATATGAACATGATTAGCACTATCCCAGGGTTTAAGTGTTTTTACACAATAAAAACTGTAAATATAATTGCATGGTTAAATTCAGTTGGGACTGACAAATATGAGCCAAAAAAAAGCAGCCCTGGTTTAGTCACTATCATAATTATTTGTGCCATAGTTTCTAGCCTCTTGATTAACAGAATTGCTACGATAAACATCTGTGTTTATCTCTTCTGAAGAACTATTTATTTCCTGAGCTGTAAGTATAGGTTGTCGATCACTACCACTTCCATCAAATATATTATGATTAACTTCCCCTTGTGGTTGGACTTGTCCTACATTAACACTAGCTGTTAACCACGCTGAAATCATAGTTTACAATACTGTCTTTATAACAATTACATTTAAGTATGCCATGTACATGTATAGGCTATGCCAGAAAGATTTAGTCAGGATTCCTGTTTGCAAATATAAGGATTCAGAAACTTTTTGATTGGAAGGTTGCATAGAAATTGAATTCCTGTGTAGTGAATTCCTCACACTGCATGTTGATTTTACTATTTAAATATTCAAAGAAATAATTTAAATGTTATTAATGGACATATTCATTTTAATTCAAATGAGCCCTTTTTATTGTTTGTACAGCATTTTCAGACTTCAGGTAATTAGTGAATTCCAACAACTGATCAAATTCCATAAGAGTTTAATGATATTTGAATTCAGAATTATGTGTGAGCACTAAATAAGTGGAAATGAAAAATGTAGATGAAACAATCTGTTGTCCGTAATAAAAAAAATGTTCTGCTCTGACTGGGCTAATTAAGACCGCCTTTCTCCATGCAGTGTGCTATGAGGGAAATTTTGCCCGGACAGTGGCACTACGGCTTATTCATATATCGAATTTCAGCTGCCAAGGAATCTCTTACATGCACTTTAATGTCGACACGAGACCTTGGTTTCCCGTCCCATCCAAATGACTAGACAGCTGTTCTTGTCAGGCCCATCCGTAATAAAACTATCCAAGAAATTCCAATTCAGATAGTAAACAAATTCAGTTCATTATTTTATATATTAAAATGCCCATATTTCCCATGCAGAAAATACAACAAAACTACAACGATGAAGATTAGTATCAGGTGTTTAGACAGTGACCATACTCTGTATTATGCATGACACCCATCAGTACTAAGTGCACACATTAGTATAGATTCTGCTTTTGAGAAGAGCTGACCTTTTCAATAAATTTTCACGGAAAGTGTCTCATACAGCAGACAGCGAGTTCCGAATTTTCCGGAAAATTCTATTATTGTGTTGCGTCAAATGGGCTGATTTGAGTCAAAATGATAGGGAAAAGTATTTTGGGGCTCTATGCATGGAATACCTAAGCGCATTTTAGACCATCGGGATGAAATTGACTTAGTCAAATTCTGAACATACTGCCGATCTGACTTAGGCGAAGGAAAATAGCCGGAAATGGACCGAACATTGTGATCCGAGTTGACCGAAGATCTGACTTATGCGCAGAAATTTAATAAGAAAAACGTGCAGGATCAAAGGGACCAAATGATTTTATCCAAGTTGAGCGAAGATCCAACTTATACGAATCCGACTTATGCCAAGTTTACTGTAGTTAAAATGTGTTTAAATGGAAACTACTGTTGATGAGGTGGGATAATTCTAGTTCTAAAACTAGCCGAATGGTTAACGCGTATGCATTGGATCAGAAGGTCTGTCATTGAGTAAAGTGCATGGTGTGGCTTTGATTCCCCGCTTGTATGTGACAAGAAGTAGGGTCACGTGTCCAGCCTTGTGGGTTTTCTTCAGGTGCTCCGATTTCCTCCCACTTCTAAAGACCCCTATGCGCAAGCAAATTATTGAAATAAAATTGAACCATCTTAGTCCCAAAATGACAGAATAGTGGACATCTCTCTCATCTCTCTATTAATAATTTAAAATAAAAAACTTACATGGAAAGACCTCAGATGTTATTTGTGGTTGAGCTTCTTTTGGTTTATGAGATCCAGGAAGACCAAGTGTTATAAAATAAACACCAACAAAACACATAATACACCTAAATATATGAAGATAAATCACAGTTACATCATGTTTCAAACTCATTTTGTCATTATAGAATACAGCAGCAAACTCCCTCAAATGACATCTACAAACAGAAAATTCTAAAACAAAATAACCGATTTACAGTAATTTATGATCTGCTAGTTTAAATTCAAATATCAAATTTAAATTTATAGTGTACATAGCTTACCCAAAAATAAACATACATATTTCTAAACCACTCATTCCCCAGAATTCTTTATAGAATATAATACCTGTAAACATATAATATATTATAGACTATAATACCTGTAAACATATAATATATTATAGACTATAATACCTGTAAACGTATAATAATTACAAGTTGTCGTAAACAAAAGCAAAAGCTACTTTTAAATGTGGTTTATATCCACTCGACGCAAACTAGGTAATTTTGGGACCAACATATTGTACCATTTTATTTCAGTTATTCGCTTGTGCATAGGGGCCGTTAACAGTGGGAGGAAACCAGAGGACCTGGAAAAAACCCACATGGTTGGGCTGTCGATCCTACTCCTAGACACAAACTTGAAACCAAAACCATGCCACTTCAATCAAAAACAGACCTTATGATCGAAAGTGCACACATTAGACCACTTGACCACCTAACCCCCTAATTACATCAGATGCATATTCTTGTGCCTGGTACATAAAACTCCATTATAAATACCCCCTCCCCACCCACAATTCGGAGCAGAACAGTAGGACGTTAATCGTCATTTCTTTCATATCATTTCAATTATAAACTTGATAGTGCCTTACCAAAAAAATAACAATTTGTTTTTAAATACCTGCTAATATTGCACTCAATGTAAAAAAAACAAAGTTAGTTGGAACTACAACAGTTGAATCAAAATCTTTCATAGCTTGATTTAAGTACCTGAAATAGATGAACATATTGTGGATTCACTGTTGAAAATATTTTTTGATAAACATACTTTTCTTAAAGTAAACAAATAAAAATTGCTTTAGTCTCTGTAATTATGACAAGATTTGACTTCTGACATGGAACAGGTTTGAGGAGAATAGTTATTGGGTCATTCCATATCAAGTGGACCAAATTCTCAGAAAGTTGTTAAGTGACCCCCTCAGAAAATTATGAAAAAAATATATGTAATAGTACCTACAGTCTTATGAAAAACTAAAGTTATATGACTCTAGCATTAATAGTGACTGAGATATGACCATTGAATCTAGGTACCCTTTCACAAGTTTTGAAACTACTCTTATATGCTTGATTTTTGTGATCTGATGTTATTCCTTCTAGTCAGTTTATATTCTTGAAATTATGGGGTTTGTAAGAGAATGTTATATAGATTAAGAATTTACCATCACATTTTACAGAAAGATAGGTTGACAGGCAATGAAACATCGCCCACAGCAGCTAAATCGTCCGGGCAGTCAATAAGAGTTGTCGCATATATTTATACTTTTGTCCGTAATGAAACATTTATAATACACTAAAATCTGGTTAAGAGTGACAACTCATTAAGTAATTATCAGAAAATCATTAGAATTTGTTTGGTTTTTATAAATTTCGGCCCCAAGCTAACGTTTAGTATACAAAACATTTAATATCATGGATTTAGCTGTTCAAGTTATCAAAATTGAAAATAAATATACTGGTTCGTCTCATGACCTTAAACTCTGTGTATCAATCTAAAGTCAATTGGATGATAACTTTAGCCTCTAGAGCATCCACAAGATATTTTGAAGTGATCAAGGGCCATAACTCTGGCAGTAATTATCCAAAATAGCTGAAAATCAATAGGCTTCTTCACCTCATGACTTTAAACACAGTGTATAAATTTAAAGTCAATCGGATATTGACTTTAGTCTCTAGAGTGTCCACAAGCAATTGTGGATGCCGGACACACGGACGACGACAATATACGACCACATTTCAATGTGGGGGTATAAAAAGTACCGTCAACTGTGTATGGAGTGCCGTAAGTGCCACAAGCTAACAGTGAGGCTGTTTTCCCCGCCGAAATCCCCCCAAAAATAGATGACACATATTAATTAATAGCCCATTTATTAATCGCATTCACCTAAAGAACGCCTACACCAAGTTTGAATACCAAGTGTCTCAAAGCATCAACCAATCAAATTGCTTATCTCTGCTTTCCCTAAGCAGAAAATGCTCATCTTCGAACTCCATCAAGGCACTGACCTAATAAACACCTACACCAAGTTTGAACATTCAAGCTCAATTAGAAAGAGAGTTATTGTGTCCCAAAAAGTGTGATGGACAGACGGATGGACAGACAGACAGACGAACGAACCCATTTTATCAATTATACATGTGATAAGTAACAACTTCTAATATAGTGTAGTAAAATTTCTACACTGTATCGAAATATTTTTTTCTTTTTTGCACAAGTATCAATTTCTGGCACTTAAGGCACTCCATACACAGTTGACAGTACTCTTTCTGTAAAATGTGATGGTAAATTCTTAATCTATATAACATTCTCTTACAAACCCAATAATTTCAAGAATATAAATTGACTAGAAGGAATAACATCAGATCACAAAAATCAAGCATATAAGAGTAGTTTCAAAACTTGCCAAAGGGCACCTCGATTCAATGGTCATATCTCCATCGATATTAATGCTAGTCATATAACTGTGCAGTTTTACATAAGACTGTATGTATTTTAACATATTTTTTTTCATAATTTTCTGAAGAGGTCACTTTACAAGCATTGGTCCACTTGACATGGCATGACCTTATTGTAAGTTTCTAAATATTGTATCATTCAAACCATATAATCAGAAGTTCCATGTCATAATTACAGATTCATATTTTGTGTCCTTTGGAGATTAAATCCTGTATTGATATCAAAGACTCAGTAACAAGTGTGCTGTAACAATAAAGATCGCAACATGAAAGTAATGTGAACTTTTAGATAGCCATAACTTATGTTAGGATTGATGCTTTTTTTTACCAATATGCTTTTTGGTATATCTTTTTATCATGTATGAGCTGAAAGTCTATATTCTTGTCTTTTCATCTGCTTTTAAGTATTTTAATACTAAAAGTAGAACTTACTTGATTTGAACAACAGCTGTCAGTATCATTATTATCAACATAATATATAAAACAGGATATTTAAACTGTGGTTCACCACTTATAGTAACTTGTAACATACTACTAACACCTTTAGCAGATATGACAGTAAAAGATGCTACAGATAAATAGTTATAAACAATGTTAAATATACATGACAGTAAATAGACACAGAGAAAAAAGCTAAGCATCCCCTGATATTTTCACTATGCCGAAAGGCAAAAACATGTTAGGTCCGCAATAACGCTAAACTACTCTGAAATTCAAATGTCATCTGATAGAACAACCATCTGGCAAGACAGAAATGCACCAATGGCTAGCTTGGATTATAATTTAATATCGATTACGTTATGTTAATACAGGTACTGTTTTCACCATGAAACAAAGCTCTCAAAAGTATGGAGCTGCAAATCAAAGAAAGAGCATTGGCATTGATATTGTCACATATAAATGTTGTTTGTAGACACTAGTGTACATGTTCAGTAAGAACAATCAGTACCTGGTGGACCCACCATGTACCCGGATGACACACTCCACTTTACGTCTCATGCCTCCAGTCAGATTTCAGATCTGTTCTCGGGTCAACAACATCCACTCAGCGTGCAGAGCTGCCTCCAAATGATGTAAGTTCTGTACTGGGAGGGTTCCGTGCCTGGATTCGGCGCCCTATAATGTCCCATACATGCTCTAGAGGGTTCATATCTGGGCTTAATGCTGGCCAGGGTAGAGTTGTCACTGCGTTGGCCCTCATGCAATCCACTACGGCACATGATCGGTGAGGCCTGGCGTTGTCGTCCATGTACTGAGGTCGTTTAGCAAGTGGATGGTTATCGAAATAAGGGACAACGAATGGCTGTAGGACGTCCCTGATGTATTGAGCTCCCGTTAAGTTGCCCCTGATGGTGACCAAATCCAGCTTGCAGGCATCCCCACACCATAACAGAGCCACCGCCATATAAGCAACAGTTGGCAGAATGTTCCTAGGAGTATAAGCTGTGTTCTTCTGTCTCCAAACACGTGTACGTCCATCAGTAACATGAAGCAAGAAGCGACTTTCGTCTGACAAATGAATTTTCCTCCACGTCCTCAGATTCCAGTGTCATCTGGCCAAACACCATGCCAAACTTGCACGTTTATGGTGGTCTCTCAACAAGGGACGTTTAATTACTCTTCTTGGATTCAGTCCTGCCGCTCTGAGGCGATTTCTGACTGTTCTGGTGCTGATGGGTCGATTGGGTAACCACAGTCTTTTCAGCCGAGGACATGTAAGGAAAGGATCGCGGCGTGTATGTCGTATCAGTAGCCTGTCTTCTCGGGGTGTAGTGACAGGAGGTCTTCCAGACCTTGGACAGTCCATTGCACTTCCGGTCTGCACATGCTTCCGGACTAAATGGCTAACAACAGTGTAATGGTGGCCCAGATTTCGTCCTATCGCTTTAAAGGGCATTCCTGCAGAATGCATACCAATAATCTGATTCCTGATCTCCACTGACAATCGTCTCCGTGCCATGTTCAATAATTATGCTTGTAACATGGATGGGAAATCTTCCTTTGTTCTTTTCGTTGAATAAGCAGATTGTTTTTCCTCTAGTAGATTGGGTGGAGCTTAACCGTGCAATAACTAGACATGTTAGTAGAAATCATATAGAGAAGTAGGGTGGTTTTTCTGTGCAATAATAACAAGCATGTTGAGCAGTTGTCAATGTTACAAGTCATTTATAGCACATTTCATTTGTTAACAGGTTTAACCCCTCGGCCTTCGGCCTCTGGTTAAACCTGTTAACCCATGAAAGCCGTGCTATAAATATAACTTGAATGGCCGTTTCAGGCAACGTTAAATACTCACAAATACAGTTGGATCATACCGCTTTTTGTGATCATCGAGGGTAGCATGTTGCACGTGCATGCCACAAACGATGCAGGTGCGACTGTCACGCGTCATTGATTAAAACGTAACGCGCAAACACCACACTTCCCATAATTGTACCTTGTTTAACTATTTCAAATAATCCCAGGGAGAAATCATCACAAATATTAGGGGGTGCATAACTTTTTTCTTTGTGTATAATATAAAGCTAGAAATCCATTTCAACATACTGCATGCATAATACTGGTTTGCAATGCACATGGTGTGATATGTTACCATAACTGTTATTTTCCATATATAGGTGAAACGGTAGTTTGTGAGATATTTACTCAATCTTGACCTTTCTACACCTAAAGATACATTCCCGGGTACAAACTGGGTGATCTGATGATATATTTGGACTAAAAACATATTCAAACTAATTAATTTATCATAATTTTGCTTCAAATCCTTCTCAAAGCGTTGCAATTGTCGGGAAATACCCTGGCTATAAAAAATCGATCAAAAGAGGTCATGTTTGTGTCACGTGACTTACCTCTCCCGGTACCTAGCAAGCAAGCGAAGTCGGAGGAGAATCCATTGCATACACAAGACGATGTTGTCTTTAATCGTTGACTATTTATTACAAATATCGAAGTGTTGTACGTTTAATTCTTCATAAAGTTTATCAAAATGTACATCAAGTGCTCAATCTCCGCGTGCAAACTTCGACGTCACGCGTGCAGACACTCTTTAGGGAAACCCTTACATTTTTGTCCTGTATGCGCTCCATGAGTGTTTTTCAGGGAATCCAGTAGTTTTCTAGTAAGATTGGATATTTCTACTTTCCATGTATACCAAAATTGCCATACTTTTATTGGAAATAACCACCCGATAAATACTTTTCTGGGAATGTAGCTTTAAGATATCATAGGTTTATATGACTGTTTTGTGTAGTAAAGTGTACTGGAACCATATGAAGAGAGTTCCAGGGAACATGCAGCATGCTTTACATCCACATCTCTTACCATGTTATTACAAAGTGCAATATATATACACATCATGCAGTATGTACACATGGATTCCCAGTTTAAATAATCAGGTGAGATTTACTGAAATTTGATCATATAATCAAATATTATAGTTGATGTATCTTTTAGAAAATAAACTTGGAGATATTATATAGAAGACACATGTAATAATTGTTTAATAAAGTAATAGGAAGAAACTAAATGTATATAATGTAGTAAGTATATTATAATTTACCTGTTATAGCTGTTATCAAAATCAATACAACAATAACTTTTAATTTTTTCACATACAGCAGGAAGAACAGGACACATAAACTTGCAATTTCTACACACTATAAATAGAAAATATTACATATTTTACTTGAGCATTTTCAGATTCGATCAAAGCCTTCAGAGGTCAATAGGGTTCTTTTTAATATCCTATGGTACAATCCCACCAAGTTTCAAAAATATCTGTCAATAACTCTGTATCGTATTCAAAAGATAACATAAATTGGAATACCATCATAATATGAGATTGAAAAAAATTCTAAAGGGCATCCTTATGACCCAAATAGCAATCCCTGTAGAGTTGATATGAGCGTATATCGAATGGAACCAAGATCTTTGGGTTATAAAAACGTATTTCAAGGTTTTTTTTTAAAAATCGGATCAAAATTGTAGTCTCTAGAAGGCCCACAATATACCATATTTTTGCGTACTAGGGGCTGCCATTTTGTCCGGCAGTTTTGGTCCGATTTTCATGATGTAATTCGAACTCAACCTTCATTACGGTGTAACGGTGATATATTCAAACGTTTTTTAAATCGGATAATAATTGTTTCCTCTAGAGGGACCACAAGCTAAAAACATGATTTTTCGTATAGTCAGAGGCCATAATTCAGGAAGGTACGATCTGATATGCGCGAATATCGAAAGAAACTAAGATCTTTGGGACATAAACATGCATTCCAAGTTTCATCAAAATCAGATGAAAATTGTGACCTATAGAGGGTCTACAACCTTGATATACCATATTTTTTACACTATTTGCGTACATTGGGCGGCCATTTTGTCCGGCAGTTTTAGGCCGATTTTCATGACATTCGTACTCAACCATCATTAGGGTGTAAAGGTGATATACTAAAACGTTTTTTTAAATCAGATAAAAATTGTGACCTCTAGAGGGACGACAAGCTAAAAACGCAATTTTTCGTACAATCCGGGGTCATAATTCTGGAAGTTACGATCCGATATGCGCGAATATCGAAAGGATCCAAGATCTTTGGTTTATAAACATGCATTTTAAGTTTCATCAAAATCGGATCAGAATTCTGACCTCTAGAGTGTCCACAAGCTAAAAACGTGATTTTTTGTACAATCAGGGGCCATAATTCATGAAGTTATGGTCCCATACATGCCAATATCGAAAGGAACCAAGATCTTTGGGAGATAGACCTATATTTCAAGTTTCGTCAAAATCGGATAAAAATTGTGACCTGTAGCCGACGACAATATATGTCGACATGTAAATGTGGGCGTATAAAAATCTCCAATCTTTTAATTTAATTAATTTTAGAGAAAAATACTTACAATGTAAATAATAAAAGGAATTTCTGTCAATAATTGCATTATTTCACTGCCATCTAGAACTCTCTCTTTCTGAAAATACAAACAATTAGAATGAAACAATTAATAAATGCTTGACAATAAAGTTTTCAGTATCGTCAACATTGAAAAAAAATCATGGAAAACACTTGTCTGTCTAACAGATACAAAACAGAGAAAATACAAAAAGAAGGGCCAAAGTGGGAGACCTAAAAATGTGGACATATATTGTTGTCGCCCCAGTCTGTCCCGACATCCGTCCATCCACAATTTGGGACCTCTAAAGAATCCCCAAGCTAAAAATGCAATTTTTCGACCAATCAGGGGCCATAATCCAGGAAGATATGTTTGGATATGTGTGATTATCAAAAGGAACCAAGATCTTTACGATATAAACATGAATATCGAAAGAAACCAAGATCTTTGGGACATAAACATGCATTCCAAGTTTCATCAAAATCGGATGAAAATTGTGACCTCTAGAGGGTCCACAAATTTGATCTATATATATATTTGTGACTGTTGTTTGTCTGTCTGTCTGTCTGTTCGGGGGTTGGCGGCTACACTAGGTCTGCCCCGAGTCTGAAATTTGAGGTATAGGGGTAGCTCGGACCGGGGAGTAACATAGGCCAGGTGGCGTTAGTCTATCACTTCCGGTTTCGGAGTTATGACCCCCAAGCGAAGCCTGTCTGTTCGGGGTTGGCGGCTACACTAGGTCTGCCCCGAGTCTGAAATTTGGGGTATAGGGGTAGCTCGGACCGGGGAGTAACATAGGCCAGGTGGCGTTAGTCTACCACTTCCGGTTTCGGAGTTATGACCCCCGAGCAAAGTCTGTCTGCTCGGGGTTGGCGGCTACATCTGCCCCGAGTCTGAAATTTGGGGTATATGGGTAGCTCCGACCAGGGAGTAACATAGGCCAGGTGGCGTTAGTCTACCACTTCCGGTTTCGGAGTTATGACCCCCGAGCGAAGCCGGTCTGTTCGGGGTTGGCGGCTACACTAGGTCTGCCCCGAGTCTGAAATTTGGGGTATAGGGGTAGCTCGGACCGGGGAGTAACATAGGCCAGGTGGCGTTAGTCTACCACTTCCGGTTTCGGAGTTATGACCCCCGAGCGAAGCCGGGTATCCTGCTAGTATACCATATTTTACACTATTTGCGTACAAAGGGCGGCCATTTTGTTCGGCAGTTTTGGTTAGATTTTCCTGGATTATGGCCCCTGATTATACGAAAAATCATGCTTTTAGCTTGTGGACTCTCTAGAGGTCACAATTTTTATCCCATTTTAAAAACTGTTCAAATATACCACCGTTACAGCCCAATGACGGTTGAGTTCTCATGAAAATTGGTCTGAAACTGCCCAACAATATAGCCACTCCTTGTAAACAAATAGTGGAAAAGTTGTTAATACTAAGGTTGTGGACCCCCTAAGAGGTCACATTTTTTATCCGATTTTGATGAAACTTAAAATATATGTTTATATCCCAAGATCTTGGTTCCTTTATTATTCATGCATATCGAACCATAAATTCCTTGATCATGGCTCCTGATTCTGTTTTTAGCTTGTGGACCCTCTAGAAGTCATATTTTTTATCAGATTTTAAAGATAAGATTGCCAGGTAACGAAACATACGCCCACAGCATCTAAGTCAACAAGGGGTGTCGCATATTTATTCTTTTGTCGGTAATGAAAACTAAAATTTGATTAAGAGTAACAACCCATTAAGTAATTATCAGAAATCATTAGAATTTGTTTGGGTTCTAGATCTGCCACATGTTAACGTTTAGTATACAAAACATTTAATATCATGAATTTAGCTGTTCAAGATATCAGAAATCGTTAAAAATCAATAGATTTTGTCTCAAGACTGTGTATAAATTTAAAGTCAATTGGATGATAATTTTGGTCTTCAGAGTATCCACAACATTTTTCAAGGTCATCTAGGGCCGTAACTCTAGCAATAATTATCACAAATTGTTTAAAAAGTACAATAAGGTTCGTCTCAGGACGATAACCACTATGTATAAATTTAAAGTCAATCGGATGATAACTTTGGTCTGTATAGCGTGAACAAGAATATTCAAAGAGGTCAAGGGCTATAACTCTGGCAGTAATTATCGGTAATCATTGAAAATCAATAGGTTTTTTCAACTTTTCAACTATGATCATAAACACTGTGTATAAATTTAAAGTCAATCGGATATCTACTTTAGCCTCTAGAGTGTCCACAAGATTGCTCAAAGATATCAAAGTCATAACTCTGGCATTAATTATCGGATATGGTTGAAAATCAATAGACTTCTTTGTCTCATGACCTTAAACACTGAGTATATATTTATTGTCAATCGGATAATAACTTTAGCCTCACGTGATCAAGGGAGATAACTCTGGCAGTAATTATCAGAAATTGTTGAAAATCAATAAGCTTCTTCATCTCATGACCGTAAACACTGTGAATAAATGTAAAGTTTGTCAGACAGCATTCTCTGTTTCCCCAGTGTTGTCATTCCATTCTACTCCACTAACCCCTGGGTTAATCTATTGGGGGGGGGGGAGACACATTTCAAGTTATCTGCCCTTGATGATTGTGCTATTTTTATCAACCAATCCCGTAAATCGTTAATTGAAAAGGAAGTTGGCAAAGGGAAGTAACTCTCATCAGGTAAAGTAAGCAAAACGCAAAGGCTCCCCTTCAAGAGACAAGGTTAGAAATTGGTTAGAAATTCACCAGAGGGTGCCTAAATGAGAGAAGTCCAAATTATGCTAAATGCGTATTTATTAGCAACAAATTAAAATTATTATATAATGTAATAATGAAGACTGGACAGGTGTTTATATATTTGTAGGTTCAAGAGTTTTATTGAGAATCAAATTGCCAAGTTTAAGTTCAATAATAATAAACTTAACAGAATGAAACATTTCAGACGAAGAACGAATAGTAACAATAATAACAAAAGTCAAACATATAGATGTTACACGTATTTGAAATCAACGAAAAATACTACAGATTTGGATAATACAATTAAATATATATGAATTAATAATATATACATTATTTACATAAATCAGTTAGTAAATGTACATGAATATGGTTATCTACCCTTATAAAAAACGAACGCGAAACGAAGGCTGTTTCATTTGTAAGACTGGTTTGTAAACTGTTTTTTGATTGGTTCATAGACTTTACCTACAGTCAAGGCCTGGGCAGATAATTTGAAATCGTGGAAACCCTATGGATTAACCCAGGGTATAGTGGAGTAGAACAGAATGAGATCACCGGGGATGGTGGGATAGTAACTTTAGCCTCTAGAGCATCCACAAGAGTTTTCAAAGTGATCAAGGGCCATAACTCCAGCAGTAATGCCTCTAGAGCATCCACAAGCAACTGTGGTTGCCGGACTGACAAATGGACAGGGGCGATACGTCCACATTTCAATGTGAGAAACTTCCAATCAATAGAAACAGGTAACACATACCAATTACAGACGGTTTGATGGGATCAATTTTGACTAGGTCAAATATACCTGGTCATGATTTCGTGTGTACCATAGTACAAAAAATTCCTGATAAAGATCAGAAAGTCTGTGGATTCATAGACTTGATTCGGTTTAAATGAGTTAAATCCAGGAGGTTTCAAAATCATTCATAATCATGCATAATTTTCCCTTAGTATTTTTACTGACAAAACGTTGGATAAAATGATGTTTTTTTTATATTGTATTTTATTAATTAATGCACATTTCAATGTGGGCATATAATAAACGTTCAAATATATACGCACATATCGGATCGTAACTTCATGGATTATGGTCCCTGTTTTTAGCTTGTGGACCCTCTAGAGATCACAATTTTAATCCAATTTTGATTTCTTTTGATACTGTCGCATTTCAGACCATAACATCCTGGATTATGGCTGTTTTTGCTTGTCCTCTTGCAAAATGTATCTTGCATGGTAACCACATGCTTTTATATTCAATTACCTGATCACCCCTTGTCAAACACCTTGTGCATTAAAATACTCTAGAATAATGGTGACAGACAACTGCTTTAACATACAGCAACTACTGAACTGATTTACTTCATTAGCAATTGACTGTAACCAGATTATAGCCAAATTATTGACTTTATTACATTTCGTTAAAAGGAAACCACTAATATCATATTATTTTATATTATTTTTAATCATGTTATAAAATAGCACCATTTTTTTATTTGTATAAATAGTGTATATATAACTTATTTACTTTATATGATTTTTCCACATTATTTTATATGTTAATTATATGTTTTATATTCCTTGTATGAGAAGAGGGGTGACATAGGCTATGCCTGTTCCCTGATCCATTTTCATCCACTTGAAATAAAATATTGTTTACAAAAAAAAAAAAATATTATTTCATACTCAATGGTTCAGAGGCATGTGCTGCTATCACTAATTAAATCTTTTATATTCTATAATGCCTACCTTTGATGAAAAAGTTACCAATAAAAAAGCACCTACAACAGCCAGTGCACAACCTTAAAAATAAAATAACATCAGGGCTCTATAAAAGTTGAGTGCGCCTGCGCACACACTTGAAAATGTGCCTGCAGGGTCATACTGAAACACAGGGATGTAGCCAGGATTTGGTGAGTGGTGTAAAAATATATGTGGCGAGCGGAGCGAGGCAAAACAATTTTTGGGAGGGGGGGCGTGTCTTTTATGAAAATTAAACCCTTCTTGGTGTATTTTCAGAGCCTCTTCTGCCTTTTGTATTTGATTCAGTGCAAATCAAATTTCCATTTATATATTCAAAATTTACCAAATTCACTTAATTTTCATCAATGATACAGGGATCTAAAAACTTTTTGACACCACCGACCGAGCATAAAATTGTCCCGCCCCACTCTGTTTCTCTGGATAGATAATAATAATAATAATAATAACAGTTTATTCACAACTACATGTACAAGCATGAGTATGGAAGTTACAATAGATAAGTTGAGGACCTTTCGGTATTTGTTGTTTTGTTGTTTTTTTTTTCAAATATTACTTTATTACTTTGAGATTAAAAATTAAAACGATTCTTAAAACGGTGTTTGTGTTTTATTTGAGTACAACGAATTATGACAACAGGTAGATATTGATAATTAAAACACGTTGTATTATTTGACTTGTTTGTAAAGTTGTTGTACGTGTCTCACAAATATTATTATTATTACGGTGGAATGAGAATCAGGTCAGGCAGAAACTGAGAAAGCTCTCATCGTCCTCCTACTCTCGGGCCGTAGCAAATCCACGGTCAACACAGGTAAGAAATAAAATAAGAAACATCCTGAAAATTTGAAGGCACGTGTTGGACAATTACGACATTCAAACCTTTAACATTGGAGTGCCGTAAATTGGTCTGGGTGACCTATTTACGGCAATTAACAAATATAAAGACCGTAGAATAATTCTAAGTATAAATAAACAAAATATCAATATATCTTTCTTTAAACTAATTTGGGATGATAGGGTCTACTACGGCACACAAAAATAAATTATGCTGTGACAGACATGGTTTGCGTATGTCGGCTTTTACCATGGCTTTGCCGTTTAATTGCCGTGGTAAATTTTGAGCGCTGAGTTTGTGTACAGAGAAGGACGTATGGGTTTAAATACGACTGGGCGGCTTTCTTCGATTTTTTCTTCGTGCTGGGCGGCAAAAAATAGTGCCGGGCGCAGGCGCCGCCTGCGTGGCAACATCTTTAAAAATGTGCCTGCAAAAAAGTTTTTTTAAAGCAAATGTGCCTGCGCACGCCGTGCGCATGTGCGCGGAAATATCGATGCCTGAATAACATTTGACAGATATCTCTATTGTTATTTCAGGCCAGTATCCATATACACCTGAAAATCAAACTGTATATTTTGAGACTTTGTATAGTGAATAAACTAAAATTAGTATTATCCATATATGTTATGTTAAAAAATTAAATATTACTAATTCAAACAACATACCAAATAAATGTTCTGGTCTTATTTTCTCTTTTAGAAATAAAGCTGCTAGGAAGAAATTTGCTGCAATAATAAATTTATCAACAGTTTAAAGGCTGATATTTATATTATATCATTGAATCTGAAAGGAACTAGAGTTATTTTACAAGTTTAATTAAATGCAATGGAATTTGAAATCACAATCCCTACAAAAATTGTTGGGTTAATAATTGGGTCATAATAAGAAGATGTCACTTTCAGGAAATAGAATCAAAAAGCTTCCAGGGTCAAAAAACTTTCCACTCTTTTTAACATCAACAACAGACTTCAAAAAGTATTTCTTGATAATTTGTTATGTAGCATATCATATTCTGAACAATATTCATCACTAGCAGGATACCCGGCTTCGCTCTGGGATCATAACTCCGAAACTGGAAGTGGTAGACTAACGCCACCTGGCCTATGTTACTCCCCGGTCCGAGCTACCCCTATACCCCAAATTTCAGACTCGGGGCAGACCTAGTGTAGCCGCCAACCCCGAACAGACCGGCTTCGCTCAGGGGTCATAACTCCGAAACCGGAAGTGGTAGACTAACGCCACCTGGCCTATGTTACTCCCCGATCCGAGCTACCCCTATACCCCAAATTTCAGACTCGGGGCAGACCTAGTGTAGCCGCCAACCCCGAACAGACAGACTTCGCTCGGGGTCATAACTCCGAAACCGGAAGTGGTAGACTAACGCCACCTGGCCTATGTTACTCCCCGGTCCGAGCTACCCCTATACCCCAAATTTCAGACTCGGGGCAGACCTAGTGTAGCCGCCAACCCCGAACAGACAGGCTTCGCTTGGGGGTCATAACTCCGAAACCGGAAGTGATAGACTAACGCCACCTGGCCTATGTTACTCCCCGGTCCGAGCTATCCCTATACCCCAAATTTCAGACTCGGGGCAGATGTAGCCGCCAACCCCGAACACACAGACTTCGCTCGGGGGTCATAACTCCGAAACCGGAAGTGGTAGACTAACGCCACCTGGCCTATGTTACTCCTTGGTCCGAGCTACCCCTATACCCCAAATTTCAGACTCAGGGCAGACCTAGCGTAGCCGCCAACCCCGAACAGACAGACAGACAGACAGACAGACAAACGACAGTCACAAATATATATATAGATTATCACAAAACAAGCAGTTGCCATGCAAAATATGCCCATATTTTACACCAAAAAAAGCTATTTTTCATACAATCAGGGGCCATAATTCGTTTTCATACAATCAGAGGCAGTAATCCATGTAGTTATCGTCTGATACATGCCAATATCGAAAGGAACCAAGATATTTAGGAGATAAACCTATATTTATAGTCTAATCACTCATCACAAGGCATAACCGACCTCCACATATTACTTGCTGTTTGGTATTGAGGCCCCGGGAAGCATGCAGTCTGACTTTTGCCAATCTTGGATATGTCCAACATAAACAGATGCAGCAGAATCAGTTTCTATTAACAACTTACCAACTACGGTAGTTGTACCTAGAGGTGCCACTAGAGATGCTGGAGCAAATCCATAGGCTGTAAAATTTCCTATTTCTCCTAAGCCCATTAATGTTAAACCTAACCACCATAAAACATCTTTAGTATAGTGTACAGGTGCTTCTCTCTTACTATTCTTCATATGAGTATATTTCTGAAAAATATTTGAAAAGCTCAATGGACAGAAACTTGAAAATTTGTGCTCTCATAATAAGTAAAACAAGCCAACAGTGAGGCTGATGCCAAACGCCGAAATCCCAAAATAAATAGATGACACACATTAATTAATCGCACATTTTTTTTTTTTCAAAAGTATCAAGCTTTCAAACTATACACAAGTTTCATCACTCTCTTTCAGATAGAATCAAGATTATCTTGTCCCAAAGCATTGACCAATGAAATTGATTAGCTCTGCTTAGCTTCAGCTCGAAATGTTAATCATTGAACTCAGTCAAGACATTCCCCTAATGAACATCTACAGTACACTTCTAGCGGAAGTATGAAATTAGTCCTTGTGGTCGTTTTTTCCGCTCAAAAATCGCGGTGTTTTTCTCATATACACATCGCGGAATTAGGGACGTTCTGGGAGGAAAAAAGTCTGCGAAAATATAAAATTTGCGGTGGATTATTGTCCGCGAAAATATGAAATTCGCAGCGGAGTATAGTCGGTGGAAACATAAAATTCGCGGAGGATTATGGTCCACAGTGATTCAAAATAGTCAAGAGTAATTTAGTCCATATTGTCACAAAGTTATTAGAAAGAAACACATATCTAATGGAACAATATCACGAGTATATTATTCGTTTTAGTTCGACGGTAATCATTCATAATACTCTTTTCAAATTGCACATTGAAAAATAACTAAAGTGTACCAATGTATTGCATTCGTTTCCTAAAATGTCCGTAATGCTGGATTCATTTATAATGTACATCGGTATTTAATTCGTGAATCGTACCACAAAGCACATACACATAGCAATTTTCGATGTCATTAGTTAATCCGACAAGCAGACAATGAAACCAGGTTTCGTGAATTCTGATAACATTGTCTGAAAATGGACGACAATAAACACACATGTATTTAGAAGGTAGCGATTTGCATGTGGATGTCATAAAATATGCTGGAGATTTTTTTATATACTGATTTATTATCAGTTTTAATTATGAACAAGAATTTAACGATACTCACATCAAAGAGTACAAAGGAAATTGCCTAACAAAAAAGCATGCATAAGTTAAAGGGGCATGGTGCGATATAAGGGATGATTTTTGTGCCAAATTTAAAAAAAATATCACCACCGGTTCAACGAATGATTTTATTAACGGAATATGTCAACTGCGAATATGATGATTAAGTATTCTTTTCACACGGTGCATACGCCAACCTTTAAGTCTGTACCGATTCAAAAATTGAATTATCTCTTATATCCACATTTTTTAAATTCCGAGTTTTATCGTAATTAAATTAATAGAATCCCTTGTAACCTACTGGTAATACATGATGTATATTGTAGGGGGACGGGGGTGTGCTATTCATCGTAGCCCGTTCGTAATTTAGCCATGACAAGGGCACCTATTTTGTGTGAAAATCCAGATTGGTCGCGTCCCAATTGTAATTGTTTTTTAATAATGAGGTCAACTTTTTTGGATAATGATTACTTACTGACAATTCAGAATAAAAGTATTGTTTACAAGAATACGACATGGTAACAATTTGTTGTTAAAGGGGCTTCTATTTTAGTCAATTATCAATTCCTTTTGATGACATGTGTGAATTCACGTAATTAATTAGGAATCTTGACTGACAGTATGCATTGACTCAGACTCTTTGGTGCCGAAATGAAAAGACCATCAAGGTATTATACGAGTAATACGTGTTAATGTACATGAGTTCAGCAAGGTTGACGGTGACTTCTGGCTATGTGTGCTTAAAAACAGGACATGAAGGCATTTGATTCATTTGTGATTTAAACCTGAAGATATATTACTTGTTCAGGTGTGATTTATCAATTTAAAATGCATTGTGTGACTTATTTGTCAGAATGGAAATGGCTATTTCAATGTACTATGTTTGTAAACTTTGAAATTTTCGTAATTTGAAAATTACGTTATGCAAATTTAAGTTCATTTGGTGACCGTTCATTTTATGTACAAGCCCCCCTACTTTGGAACAAATTACCACTAGACATTACAACATGCTCATCACTGGCTACTTTCAAAAAGCATCTAAAAACACATCTTTTTAAAGAAGCTTTTATATAAATGTTTTAAAAGTTACTTTTATATAATATGTTCAAATTTTTTAACCTGTGGGGTTTTTTTGGGTTTTTTTTACTTAAATGTATTCTGTATGTTTTATCTTGTCATTTTATACTTGTGGTTATTTTACATTCTCTGTAACCCTTTTATTTATATGTAGTTCTTAATTATGTATCTTTTAATTGTGTACAGCGCATATGGGCACCTAACGGTGGAAGCTATGCGCTTTATAAATTTTTCAATAATAATAATAATAATAAATAAATAAAATTTGAAATTTTCGTAATTTTAATGAGTTTGAAATAGTCCATCGATGCAAGTCTTAAAAATGTCGAACATATTGATGAAGTAATGTATCGGTACAGCCATAATTCTGTTTATTTCATTATTTAAAAGCCTGTTTGATATTTGTTATTTTTCAATATAATATAAGCCAGTAAAATCTGCGTGTCTAACCGTGTTAAATTAATAATCTTTTCTTTGCATGCCGTATTAGCCGATATTTGACTACGATATCACTGCCGTGGAATCGCACGATAAATAAACCCATTTCAACCCAGCTATGGATGTGCTGACTGTACATGCGTGGAAAGTCCGACTTTTTAAAATTTTGCGGTGGGCGGCGGTTTAAAATAATCGCAGAGGTCGGCGGTTTACTTAAATTCGCGGAGGAAATTTAGAGCGGAATTTTGAACGTGGCCAGAGCGGATTGATTAACTGACGTCCATGATTTTTCATTTCCGCCCAGGTCGGACCTCGAGGAAATTTAGTACTTCCGCTAGAAGTGTACTGTACATCAAGTCTAAACATTCTATCTCAATTAAAAGCAGAGTTGTTATGTTCCAAAGTCTTGACCAATCAAATTGCTTATCGCTCATTAGCCTAAGCAGAAAATTCTCACCATCGAAATTAGTCAAGGTAATGATATAATGAATCTATATTCAGAGTTCCATCGCTCTCACTTCATTATAACCAAAGTTATCGTGCCTCAAAGTTTAAACATTCTACCTCAATTAGAAGGAGAGTTATTGTGTTCCAAAGTATCGACCAATCAAATTGCTTATCGCTCTGCTAACCCTCAGCAGAAAATATTCATAATCCAACTTAGTAAAGGTATTGATGTAATAAAGCTATACACCAAGTGTCCTCACCCTCACTAAATTAGAACTAATGTTATTGTGTCTCATGTATATCAACCAATCAAATTGCTTATCTCTGCTTACCCTAAGCCGAAAATTCTCATCTTCAAACTCCATCAAGGCATTCATCTAAAAGACACCTATGCCAAGTGTGAACATTCTAACTCAATTAGAATGAGAGTCATTGTGTTTCAAAGTCTCGACCAATCAAATTGTTTATCGCCCTGCTTACCCTGAGCAGAAAATGCTCATTATCAAACTTAGTCAAGGTATTGATGTAATAAAACTATACACCAAGTTTCATCACTCTCACTTAATTAGAACTAAAGTTATCGTGTCCAAAAGCATCAACCAATCAAATTGCTTATCTCTGCTTACCCTAAGCAGAAAATGCTCATCTACGAAACTCCATCAAGGCATTGACCTAATAAACACCTACACCAAGTTTGAAGATTCTAGCTCAATTAGAAGGAGAGTTATTGTGTACCAAGGTCTCGACCAATCAAATTGCTTATGGCTCTGCTAACCCTGAGCAGAAAATGCTCATTATCGAACTTAGTCAAGGTATTGATGTAATGAAACTATACACAAAGTTTCATCACTCTCACTTAATTAGAACTAAAGTTATTGTGTCCCAAAGCATCAACCAATCAAATTGCTTATCTCTGCTTACCCTAAGCCGAAAATGCTCATCTTCGAACTCCATCAAGGCATTGACCTAATAAACACCTACACCAAGTTTGAACATTGTAGTTCAATTAGAAAGAGAGTTATTGTGTCCCAAAAAGTGTGACGGACGGACGAACCCATTTTAATAGTCCCCTACTTTCTTCGAAAGGCGGGGGACAATCAAAACAAACCAAAGCAGAGGCTTGTGTCGCCTGCATCCATCCAAAAATTAATAGATGACACTTCATTAATTACTTGCACATTTATCATTTTTTATTATAAAGCATCTAGCAATCAAATTGTTTATCACTCTGCTTAACCTAAGCAAAAAATCCTCATTATCAAACTTATATTAGTCAAGGTATTGATGTAATGGAATTTTACATAAAGTTTAATCACCAAATCAATGCAGATTGGACAAGTAAGCAATTATGATTTTATCAATGAAAAGATAAATTTAACACTAACATACCTGTACATTTAGACTAATACTAATGAGTAAGTTACCACTAATAGCCAAACCTGCACCCACAAACAAATCCTGAAATAAAATACATACATATAAGCTTACATCGAAGTTAGATTCATAAAATTATTCAGCAATTCTGAATGAGGGATAAGTAATTAAATATAGTTTTAAGGATTTAAAGATACAATGTAAGTATAAACCTGTCCAATTGAAATGGTTAAGCGCTTGTCTTTCACACAGGATCACCGAACAAGGGGTTACAAGGATTAATGTATGAATGCATAACATCAACTATTTCATAAGCAAGATGCGGGAGACCACTAAATACTTCCCCTGACCACCAATTACTTCTCCGATCTCGAATCCTACCAAATGTACATGTAGTTCCTTCTATTCACACCCTCTATAAATTATTGGTGAATATTTATGGTTTAGACTAAGAGGCAGACCGATAAAAGAACTTATAGGTGATATGTAGGGCAACTACATGTAGTTACATGTTTACTACATGCAGGCCTATATAGTAATTAGTATATTTCAAGTTATCTCAAAATTTAAATGGTCAACCTCATACAAGCTTTGGTGCAAGACATAGTCAGATGCTGCTCCACCTTTGGTGGAGAGCATTCAGATAAACAAAACTTTTGGGAAAATTAGGAGGCAAAGAGACAACAATTGTGACCGGTGCAAGCAAAATCAGTCGGAAGTCGTATTCATTCATTTTGCGCTATAGGCCATACACAGCAGTCTGTGTGAAATTATTGATTTTCAGTTATCATCACCAAATAATAGTTTGAAATGTTTTCTCTCTGAATTCTAAATCATTTTTAATTATCCAAACTCTAAATGCCTCAAAAATTGATTTAATAAGGAATGTTGAAACACAACATGATCAAGTTTCTCCCTGAAACATTTGAAATTAGTGGTCTTTTTCACGTTAAACAATTTTACAACCAGCAGTCCGAAAGGCAATTTTTGTTGCATTTTAAAGCGTACAGTTGTGGCTTTCAGGAAATGTATAGAACTCAGTTTTGGTGAAGTGACCCAAGTGATTGATTTTGCTGGCACCAGTCACAATTAACATTAAAGTCTCTGAGGAAATTAATGTTGGTCTGCCTCCTATAGATGGAGGCAGACCAGCATTAAATTTCATCATCTCGGTACCCACAAATTGTAGTTCGTCTATTTATAGCAAATCTCTCTCTCTCGTTTCTCCCCTTTTGCATGCCCATTTTTGTTGATTTTTTGGTCTAGAATGGACGAAGAGGGTTTGAATTAACATTTTCTGCCAGGTTTTGGTAAATATTCATGGTTTTGAGGCGGAAGGATAAGAGGGTTATCAGGTTAGCTACGGCGATATGTACGGCAACTAGTTACATGTTTTTAGTATGCTTTTTCAAGTTTGTGTATCTCAAAATTTTGGTGGTCAACCTCATACAAATTTTAGTGCAAAGACATGACCATTTGTTCCTCTGTCTGTAGTGAAAAGCATTCAGCCCAACGAAAATTTGGGGAAAAGTTGGAGGTGGGCAAAGAGGCCAGAATTAACATTGAAGTCAATGGGGAAATTAATGGTGGTCTGCCTCCTATATGAAAACAACCTGACAGTGGATGAAAGGCCTAAATTTGATGATATGATCTCCAAATTGTCAGAAAATGTGATATATGGCATTTTGATAGTAAAAAATGTGAAATGGTAAAATTTCAAAAATATTTGACAAATTTGGGAGGGGAAATTTTGATTTTAGTCAAAATTTTATGATTTTCAGTGTTTATTTACTTTTCAAAATTAGTGGAAAATATTTTAATGTATGATTTTTACTTTTTCTGCATTATACAGGTTAGACGGGAAGAAAGTATCATAATTTCACTCAATTTTGCCTAAAAATCATGATAAATTGTCTGAAATTCTTCAGATTACCCCCAATATTGCTGTCAAAATTTTAATTATTCATCTGTTGTAAAGTGAACCAAAATGTCTTGCATGTCTTTATTTTCATTGTTAAATAACTTGGCAAGGATCCATGTGTTTGTCAGATATTGAAAAAATATTCATGTGTTTGTCAAAAATTTAAAAATTAAGAAATTTAGTCTAATTATGTTCTGCTTAGGTGTGTTAGAATTTTCAAAACATGAGTGAACTGCATTTTGCTGCTGTTTTCCTCCGGCTTAACACAATTTTAATCTTTCAAAACCTGAAATTGTTGCATTTCCCTTCTCGAGAAAGTAAAATCTATGTGTTTGCAGGGAAATTTATCTGTCTTCATTTCATTTAGACTGGCTCACCCTCTCCTCCCCACCCCTTTTCTTGAAGATGATATTTGGATATTCAATTGAACATTTGTTGACTCCAAATTAGCAGTAATCTGATTTTGTGCTTGAATTGTAACCGAGCATTTTATTTGACACAAACAAATAGTTACATATAAGATTTCAAGGATTTCTAAGACTTTTTGTTTATGGTCAAACATGTAATCCTATGACATTTCTTCCAAATGAGTCCACACCCCAAAATGGATATGTTGTAGATGTGTTTTTTGCAGCTTAATGTTTTACATTTTGAATGTAAATCTATTATTTGTGGTGATCTTTGAAAATGTGGCACCTACAGGGCAATAAAATATTAATTAATAGCCTTTTCATACCCCTTTTATGCTTTGAATTATGTCAGAACTCCCTTTTTCCATCTCATTTTGTCAGGACATTGATGTAAAGATTAAAACAACTTGCTTCCACATAACATTTACACTATGTAATTTCAAGGATACCTCTGATTGTTTAAGTATTTTAAAAACTGAAATATTCCCATTTTTAAAAAAAAAATAGTGCTTTGCGACCCTTTTATTAGAGTGGCTGGTTGTCACCTAAATACAGCATTTATTTTACATTTATCAATCCATATTTTAATAAATAATTCATACTTCGTATAACAAACTGTGTTTGTATGTATGTATATAAGCCAGGGATAGAAAAACATGGCTTTTAGCCCTATTCCATCAACAGTATTACTTATGTGGACACAAGTGGGATTTGTTACCACACCAACATTTTTAGAGGGTGGGCTTACAGGTTTCACTATAGTTCCTTACAGTTACCTTCAATGCAACAAATTTGCAGCTTGTCTTCCTGTATACTGGCCAAGGTTTCTAGAAATAAATGCTTTTCATCTCAGACTTTCCCAGAAATAGGGAAATATTAGCATTTTGAGGCATACAAAGTGTCAAAAATGGACCATTTTGTAGAAAAAGGTAAAAGAAAGTCAATTTTTGAAAAATATTCCAATATTTTGAATATTTTTGATGTGACTTGTCTGAAACTCTTTAAATCTTTTCGCAGAACTCACATTTCGACAAAATTAAGAAAGAATCTTCAATTCTAGAACAAAAGGCCCATGGACCTGAGCTGCAATCCGGTATACAAAACACTACATAACTTTAAAGGGTCACCATTTCTGCAGTAATTATTTTTTTCTGATTCTGTATTATAATAATTTTGCAAAAATAAATGTGAAGCTATAAAGAAAAGAATTTTGATGATATATGAACTTATAAAACCATATAGGAGGCAGACCACCATTAAATTTCATCATCTCGGTACCCACGAATTGTAGTTCGTCTATTTATAGCAATTCTCTCTCTCTCTCTTTTCTCCCCTTTTGCATGCCCATTTGTGTTGATTTTTTGGTCTAGAATGGATAAACTGGAGTTGCTTCCCTTTATCTTTGATTAACATTATGGCTGGTGTCAATGTAATAGGGGCAAGAAGGTTAAATTTACCTTGGATTTGTAGTAAGTCAGAAGAATAATTACCCAATAAATGTTTGTTTTGTATTAAAACTTACAGATGTCCTGCAGTAAATACAGGGGTAACAGCCCGTATCAGAGAAACAGATGTGTCAAAATCGATGTCTGTCAAAAACATTATTATAATATAAACATTTTACCTAAAAAGTAGAAGGATACTAACCATGTGGCTTGACTGTTCGCCATTGCCGCCGTCATTACTTATGTTCCTTTCCTCCATTGTACCTTACTGTAAATACAGTTTAAGTCAAACATTTGTACAGCACATTCTGAGATTTGTCAACGTGGATGTAATTATTTTTGTTCTAAAATAACATTAAACAACATCCATGTTTACTGTAATCTCGCAAAATCGCGGGCACCTGCGAGAATGGTATTGCTCATGCGTTAATTTATCATCTGTGTTATGATGGAGTGATATCTCATGCCTTTCGCTCACGACATTATTGATCAGTACAAATTCTGTCATTTACGTAAAGCTGTCATTTTGATTTTCGCATTTGGTATTGTGTGTCTTTTAGGTGTTTTGGCTACAAATCGGTGTATGGGCACCAGTTCATCTCAAGATATGCCCCCTCCTGAAATCATCCAGCCTCAAGGCCAACACACAGCATCGGTAAGTTGAAGGTTCAAATTAATCGGAGGATTCGTTCGCAATGACCACAAGCACAATTAGGTAGAGTGCCTGTACTGAAAATAATAATCTCATAAACTATTAATAGTTATATATCAATGTATTTATATACATTATATACAACAGCCCTTCCAAATTCCCTCTTATTAATCATCAACAAGCCAACAGTGAGGCTGATGTCCCCCGCCGAAATTGCAAAATAAATAGATGACACATATTAATTAATCGCACATTTATTTTTTTCACTAAGTTTCATCACTCTCTATCAGATAGAATCAAGATTATCTTGTCCCAAACCATCGACAAATGAAATCAATTAGCTCTGCTTAGCTTCAGCTCGAAATGTTAATTATTGAACTCAGTCAAGACATTCACCTAATGAACATCTACATATACATCAAGTTTAAACATTCACCTAATAGACACCTATGCCAAGTTTGAACATTCTACCTCAATTAGAAGGAGAGTTATTGTGTTCCAAAGTTTCTACCAATCAAATTGCTTATCACTCTGCTTACCCTCAGCAAAAAATGTTCATTATCGAACTTAGTTAAGGTATTCATATAATAAATCTATACACCAAGTTTCATCAATCTCACTTAATTAGAACTAAAGTTATCGTGTCCCAAAGCATCAACCAATCAAATTGCTTATCTCTGCTTACCCTAAGCGGAAAATGCTCATCTTCGAACTCCATCAAGGCATTGACCTAATCAACACATACACCAAGTTTGAACATTCTAGCTCAATTAGGAAGAGAGTTATCGTGCCCCAAAGTATCAACCAATCAAATTGCTTATCTCTGCTTACCCTAAGCGGAAAATGCTCATCTTCGAACTCCATCAAGGCATTGACCTAATAAACACATACACCAAGTTTGAACATTCTAGCTCAATTAAAAGTTATCGTGTCCCAAAGCATCAACCAATCAAATTGCTTATCTCTGCTTACCCTAAGCGGAAAATGCTCATCTTCGAACTCCATCAAGGCATTGACCTAATCAACACATACACCAAGTTTGAACAATCTAGCCCAATTAGGAAGAGAGTTATCGTGTCCCAAAGCATCAACCAATCAAATTGCTTATCTCTGCTTACCCTAAGCGGAAAATGCTCATCTTCGAACTCCATCAAGGCATTGACCTAATAAACACATACACCAAGTTTGAACATTCTAGCTCAATTAGGAAGAGAGTTATTGTGTCCCAAAAAGTGTGACGGACAGACAGACGGACAGACGGACAGACAGACGGACGAACCCATTTTAATAGTCCCCTGCTTTCTTCGAAAGGCGGGGGACAAAAAATGTAACTTCAGAGAGAGAAATGGGGTTTAACCTCCGTTCCACACAAACCAGGTCATTTTGGGACTAACATGGTTCAATTTTATTTCAATAATTCACTTGCATGTAGGGGTCTTTAGCAGTGGGAGGAAACCGGACAACCCGGAGAAAACCCACGAGGTTTGACAGACGACCCTACTCCTTGTCAAGTACAACCGGGGATTCAAAACCATGCCAATTGACCAATGACAGGCCTTTTATACAGCGCACATGCTAACCATTCAGCCATCCAACCCCCGGTTTGTGAATTAAACTAGCGATTTAGATAAATAAACTGTAAAACATCCCACATTTATTTCTCCAGTTCCAAGGAAAATTCAATCATAACAATTGATTTTCTGTAGTAAAACTAAGAGCCCTATGGACATTTTTGTACCTCTACTATTCATTCATTCTTGACATTTCATTTCTCCATCTTGCACGCTTTGACAGGTCAGGTATAAACCAGTTGAAATCAGGTTGATTTTTAAAAAAAAAAGCTCCCCTAATACTTTGTAAGATTAGTTTTGACATAAATCTTTGGATTTTTAAATACAAAATAATTTGGATTATTTAACATGTCAGGTATTTCCAAAGAATTTGCTACAGTGTTCATTACACACACGCCATGCTGAATGATATGTTGTCAACTTTGACCCCATTGGCACACAGCATCCCACTCCAGTGATAATTTAAACAATTTTACTATCCTGTCTATTTCAATATTATATCAGCACATCAACCTGATTTGTTTCCTTTTGAGACTGTTTATAGAGTGCTAATAATAATAATGTAACGTATTGTAACGTATACAAAACTTCGAGCGGGAATTAAAAGACGTTAATTTCCCTAGATATTTTCGATGTCATTGAAGTTCTGTATGTACTTGTTCCGATATTTGTGGGGCAAAACCAGCCTTCTAACTGTCCCCTGTTGATTGACAGGCCTTGATTATCTAAATTATTTTATATGAAATATTATTGACAGCTGTCACTAGATTGAAAGGCAGGCAAGTCAGTGATTGTTTTAGAAACATTGTAAAAGCAAAATATATTTTCTAATTTGAGCCTTTTGCCAAGAAATAGGCAATTTTATATGTCACTTTTCAGGGTGTTGCTATTTAGACGTACCGGTACTATGAGACTCTCATAGGGACCGTAAAAAGGAAAGAATAAACAGTACAAAATCCTTACCGGTCTCCGTCATTTTTTAAATCCTTATTCACACACTGTTTGAGAGCTCGGGTCTCTCAATGCAATTTTTGAGAATACCATTTCTGCACATTTGCAGACAAACATTAACGTACAACCAGATAAAACTTTTGATTGGAATAGGGGAAAAGCCAATTGCTCAATGATCAAAATCATAGAATTGGAGTACACAGTCAGTACCTCGCGGATGCCCCTCTTCGTTTCAATGGGTGCTGATATTACAAGATCACAAACTAGAACAATAGCTAAATGTGGTCGTATATTGTCGTCGCCCCCGTCCGTCCGTCCGGCGTCCACAATTGCTTGTGGACGCTCTAGAGGCTAAAGTTAATATCTGATTGACTTTAAATTTATACACAGTGTTTAAGGTCTTGAGACGAAGAAGCCTATTGATTTTCAGCGATTTCCGATAATTACTGCCAGAGTTATGGCCCTTGATCACTTTGAAAAATCTTGTGGACGCTCTAGAGGCCAAAGTTAATATCCAATTGACCTTAAATTTATACACAGTGTTTGAGGTCATGAGACGAAGAAGCCTATTGATTTTCAACGATTTCCAATAATTACTGCCAGAGTTATGGCCCTTGATCACTTCAAAAAATCTTGTGGATGCTCTAAAGGCCAAAGTTAATATCCGATTGACTTTAAATTTATACACAGTGTTTAAGGTCATGAGACGAAGAATCCTATTGATTTTCAGCGATTTCCGATAATTACTGCCAGAGTTATGGCCCTTGATCACTTCAAAAAATCGTGTGGATGCTCTAGAGGCTAAAGTTAACATCCGATTGACATTAAATTTATACACAGTGTTTAAGGTCATAAGATGATGAAGCCTATTGGTTTTCAGCGATTTCTGATAATTACTGCCAGAGTCATGGCCCTTGATCACTCTGAAAAATCTTGTGGATGCTCTAGAAGCGAAAGTTAATATTCGATTGACTTTAAATTTATACACAGTGTTTAAGGTCATGAGACGAAGAGGCCAAAGTTAATATCCGATTGACTTTCAATTTATACACAGTGTTTAAGGTCATGAGACGAAGAAGCCTATTGATTTTCGGCGATTTCCGATTATTACTGCTAGAGTTATGGCCCTTGATCACTTCAAAAAATCTTGTGGATGCTCTTGAGGCTCAAGTTAAAATCCGATTGAGTTTAAATTTATACACAGTGTTTTAGGTCATGAGACGAAGATTCCTATTGATTTTCAACGATTTCCGATAATTACTGCCAAAGTTATGGCCCTTAAGTTATCATCCGCTTGACTTCAGATTGATACACAGAGTTTAAGATCTTGAGACGAACAAGTATATTGATTTTCAATGAATTTTTATGACTTGAACAGTTAAATCTATGATATTAAAAGCTTTGCATACAAAACGTTAGCATGGGGCAGAACTTTATAAAAACCAAACAAATTCTAATAGTTTTCTGATAATTACTTCGTGAGTTGTTGCTCTTAATCAGATTTAAGTGTATTAAATGTTTCATTACCGAAAAAAGTAAAAATATGCGACAACCCTTGTTGACTGACCGGACGATTTAGTTGCTGTGGGCGTATATTTCGTTGCCTGGCAACCTATCTTTTAAATTGTTTCTGATACATGTAAGTAATAACAAATTTATTAACTATGAAATAAACAAGGTATATCACGATTTATGATAATAAAACTAAAGAAGATGTCAGCAATGGCTGATCATTGCATACCGTGCTGGTATGAAGCAACACTTATCATGAAATAGTTCCAAATCCTTTGTTTTATCTAGTTCACTGGTAGTATTGTCTGCCACTACATGTATCATAATGAGTAGAACTTTTGGAAAAGGCGAGACAATATCACATGATTTGCACGTAATTGGAATGAAGGATGGGGGGGGATATCTCTTTGAAGTCACAGGATTACCGTCAGATATTCCGGCTCCTAGATGCCGATAAAAAATTTGAAATAATTTAGTGATTTGTATTGTTATGCTAGGCTACTTTACAATTTTTACATAATTTGTATCAACAAATAATAACTCATAATATAGATCATACTTATTTATTAATTCATAATATTACCAACAAATAAGTTCCCATTAAATGTTTTATTTTTAACTATAGTTCTAGAAATGTTGGGAGAATGTCACGTGATTGCCACTGTTGACAGACAGGTCATGCAGGAAGCTATCGCTTTAAGGTATCATTGCATGAATTAATATAGACATACAGGTGCCGTCAGTGCCAATCACTTTAAGGAATTATATCGTAATCAACACTTAAAATATGATAATCTCGACTTTATTAAAGGGACAATAACACTCTTGCTGGCTTGACAGCTCCAGAAAATAAATAATAGCCTTATTCTAAGTATTAGATGTTTAAGTATCCTACCTGTTGTGTAAATTATCCATTAAATCCTATTTTACTTGTCCAGAGGGTTTGAAAATATTTTTAAATCCAAGAAG